TGATGTAAAATGCCCGGAGGCACACAAGAACTATGGAAAGAGCAGCGATGATGAGGTAGACGCGGATGAAGACTGAAGCGTCGAATGAAACAGCGTTTTTGGCAGATGTTTCATAGGCAAGCCAATAATCGCTAGCCATTATAGAGCCTTGCCAAGCCACAGAGAAGAAGAGAACAAGTATTATTCCCCACCAGCCGTAAGCTTCTGTTAAGTAGAGTTTGTAAACTTGAAAGCTCACTTGTCCGACTGCTCTTTCTTCGTCTTTGATCAGTCTTGATCCATCTTCTGGGATGTTAGATCCCAGAAATTACTTGATGTGTTCATCGTTTAGCTCACCTAAACGAGGGGACTCAATCGAAGTAGTTCTAAGTATTCTTGGAGACTCCATTGAAGTAGTCCTGTGAACTTTTGGAGATCGTGGTGTTAGAGGTTGACGTTGAGACTCTATTGAAATAGATCTCTGTGTTCTTGGTGATGCCATTGGGGCATTTGCTGTAGCGGCTGATGCTGAGCCAGCTTCAACTAGCTCCATTGATGTCTCGTGCGCCGCTACCAAAGCCCCAAAGTCTAACCCGCAGCTCACTAATTCGTCGTATTTTCCTGATTGCACAATCATTCCATCTCGCATAACCTGTAACATGGAACCACTCCTTAGCAACATCCTAAATCATAATAAACTCAGCAAGATTTTTAGAATCTTTTGTTCCATCGAACCGTACCAAGATGCAATCAACGTTGTGAAGGAAGTCTACTTGATGAGTTACTAGCAAGACAGTCTTTCCTTTCAATGCTCCTCTTACACATTTCTGCAGAAACAAGAATCAGCTTGCACGAGCGATTTTAAACTTATCAACCAACAGAGAGATTTAGCGCTTACCTTGAATATGTCTGAACCGGTGTGAGCATCCACGGCGCTAAATACATCATCGAGCAAATACACGTCGGCTTCCTGATAAACCGCTCGTGCAAGCTGTATCCTCTGCTTCTGACCTCCGCTAAGGTTAATTCCGCGTTCCCCGATCTCAGTCTGATCTCCAAACTCCATCATATGCAAATCTTTGTCTAAACAACAGACCTTGAGGACTTCATTGTACTTGCTTGAATCCATAGGAAGACCAAACAGGATATTGTCTTGAACCGTTCCATTCTGAATCCACGATGTCTGCGCTACATAAGCCGTCGTCCCACAAACACGAACATTGCCTGATATTTTGTGCATTTCGCCAAGAATCGAGGCTAGCAACGAAGATTTCCCTGCTCCAACAGTCCCTACAATCGCAGCGAGCTCTCCCTTCTTAACCTCGAAGTTTATGTCTTCAATTGCAGGCTCGTCATCGTCATCATCCCAACTAAAGCTTCCATCTTTGATTTCCACAGCGACATTCCCATCACAACCTTGGCTCCTCTCCACAGTCTCTTCTGACAGCTCTCTGCTCGTCATGTAAGCGTCGAGCCTTCCGAGAGAGATCACTGCTTGCGAAAGAGCGATCATAGACTGCGGAAACGTCCTGATCGGTTCTTGAAGTATCTTGAAGATGGTCGTTGTGGTGAAAACTGTTCCTGCATCTAGCTTGACCCCCAAGAAAACCGCGGTTGCGAAAGTGAGAGCCGAGATCAACACCGGCGTGCTCCATAGCACGATGATGTTTCCGGCGACCGAGAAGAGAAACTTGGAAAGCCAACCGAACTCCATGTCTCTGAACTTGAGAATCCTCTGGTTGAAATGATCCTCCCAAGCTTGAAACTTGATCACCCTCATGTAATTAAGCATCTCATTCGTTGCTTTCATCCGAGAATCACGATTCATCATCAGGCTGAACTGAAACCCGTTGTTTCGTTTGGTACCCATAAGAATGAATACGAAAATTCCGGTTAAACCGACGACGGTAGTCACCACAGAAGGGCCGAGGGTGCCGTAGAGAAGCACAAGAGCCACAGCTACTTGCAGAGGCATGAGCCAGATTGCGTGTAGCTGAAGCATCATATCGGAGAGCTGCTGTGCATCGACGGCCATGTAATTCACGATTTGCCCAACGCCGTGATTCTGACGAGCCGAGCCGGTTAGCTTCAACCCTTTCTTGTAGAGAGCGGTAATGAGAGTGGACCTTATGAGCATCCCTAGCTTCTGGGAATTGAAATTGAACTGGTGGGTCGATAAGACTTCGACGAATTTGGCGATAAGGAGGATGAGAACGAGGTAGTAACCCTGTGACGGCGAGGATCCTTTGCCGGAAGTGAAATCCACGAAGCTTTTGATGAGAACCGGGCCGACGTAGATGACGCTGAGGCGGAGCATGGCTAGACCCGCCGTGAGGGCGACTTCCTTCCAGAAACATCGGAGGAGAGTGGTTCGGACTGGGTTTCTCGACTTCTCTTCCGGTTTGGGCCATTTCGATTCGAAGAGAATCGCGAGTTTCTCGGCTCTGTGCTCTGGAGATAGCGTCGGGACTTGCTCAAGATCTAGTGGAGATTTGTAGCCTTTGCTCAGCAGCGGATTCATCCATATCCAGAAAGTTTTCGACACAATCGATGCGGATGCGTATAGGGAGACGTTCTCGGATTTCTCTGAAACGACGTCGTCTGATTTCGTCGGAATCGCGACACTGCTAGTGATAACTACCCCGGTGGATCCTTTGACGGAGACGATAAGCAGAACCGCCGCTAAAGGGAAGGAGACGATGGAAGCGATGTCGTCTGCTCTTAGACTCGCGGCGGAGGAATCGCCGGAGATAAGGTGGAGAATCCCGGAGACGGTGAACAGAGTAGTGACGATGAAACTGGAAACCCAGTAGATTCGTAGCGTTGAAGGATGAGTCAAAGATGCGAATCTCTTCTGGTGGAGAACCAAAACGGCGATGACGGCGTTAGTAACGGCGTGGATTAGCCAAAACAGAGCGTCGACGAGCTTCAGTTTCGTCCGAGTGGTGAAGGCCAAAACGCAGAGCAGGAGGGAGCAAAACGACAGGAGAAAAGTGACTACGACTGTCGTTTTGAACAACCCGGTTATTCTGGTTACGGTTCTTCTTGCGATTAGAGGTTTCCTGACGTCAGCTTCTGCAGAAGAAGATGAAGAAGAAGAAGAGCAGAGTTTGTGGAGAGCGAAGAAAGTGAGGATAAGGAGGAAGAAGAGATCGACGGCGGACGAGAGAAGTCGCTGTGGACATGGAGATAGTAAAACGAATCTCAGCCATTGGATTGGAGTCGGAAGAGATGACGACGGTTCTATGACTGCTGACGAAGAACAAGAGAGATCAGAGAGCCAGGAAGAAGAAAGCCACCACATTTTTTCTCGGAAAATAAAACTGATTAATCGAGGCTGCTATGGTTTATATAACTTATTCGTATTCAATCGACATAGCAGCCGACTCGAGAAAGAAGACAAAAGTAGTAGTACTAGTCAGTAGCTTAAAATAATATTGTAATGGTATAAAAGTTAATTGTATTGTATAATATGGTATACGTGTGAAGAAGATGGGTTAACAAAAATTGAGTGGAAACGATTCTCATTATTATATTGTAGAAATGGAAGTCACTTTCCGAGATTTAGTGGAGTGATGATCTCTCCCAGTTTTTGAAATCGGAATCCATGTGACGTTAGTTTTCATTCTTTTTGTTATTATGAAAAACTGACAATCCAAAAATAGCACAGAGAATAATCAGTTTAAAACTATAAAAGAATCAATATAATGAAATAAAAAGTGACGATCATGGAAGTTTTGAAGTTTTTTTTCTTGTCACGCGAGGAAGGTTATTAGATTGAAAATAGAAAAAAAAAATAACATAACATTGATTCAGTGTAATAGTGTATGAGAGAATGTTTGAAGCCGTGAAGCTCGAAGCAAACGGCATCATAATTGTTATGATCTAAAAAGTTCCTATAACTATTATCGTATGGTCAAATGTAATAATTGCAGCCGGAATAAAAGAATCCTGATTGTACTGTTATATGACACCAGTCATCATAGTATACGTACTTGCGCATATGTTTGTTGTTTTTAAATTCAAAGCTTTTCTTTTCTACATGCCTTAAAAATACACACAACAATTGTGAGTTAATTAAAAAAGAACACATAATATAACACCCCAAGCATATCACCCGTTCGAAGGTTAAGCTTGAGCTTTTAAAAAAGACGACATAACATAAGGTATTTTTAATCGTATAAAATATGGTATATATGTCATGCGTAACCTCATAATAGATAGATCTGTCGTTGGGCCAAACGCCTTATACTTGGAGCTATGAGAGCCTTAGGCTCTCATGGCAACGCACATTGATTCTCTTTTTTAATAGACCAATGGTAGTCTCTCTGCCCAAATAAATAAGTACTCGCAGTTGCCTCGTTGATCTATTTGTACACTGAAATTGATTAAATATTATCAAAAAGCTTAAACCTCCTCGAACGGATTAATAATCGTGGAGCGAATTGCAATATAATTTCATCACGTGTATAATGTCCTCGAGAAACGCTACATGTCTCCATCATAGACCAAAAAGTATATTTTCACACCGAAATGATGAAGGTATAGGTCGTGCATTGCATTATTGCCTAACATTGTTACAGAGTTTTCAATTATATAATTCTACAAAAATCCCTTTTATCATTAATCATTTTCATCGTTGTTAATCACATTACCTGAAAAGCCGACATCTAATTTCGTTATGCGTTTCCTTTTTCCTCGTATGAATGGGAAATCCGGACTGAGAGAGAATACAGAATACTTTCTCCAACTCAAAAGCTGTCGTGATTACACTCCTACTTAATACAGGTTGCAACTACAAATGTTCTTTCTTAAAAGAAATTCTCATCAATGAAGGTCAGCCCAAATATTCATACTACTTTCATTTTTAGCAGACTTTTTTTTTTTTTTTTTAAATGACACGAAATTTAGACGATTCATATAAAACGCTTTGCTATTTAAAAGAAAACCCTTAAAAGAATTATAAAAAGGACCTTTTCCCGTAAAATAATCAACGCATCTCAGTATCCGACACTGCATAGTGGTAGGTAGGGACCGTGTTGCTGTCACGTGGTGTCTTGTCTTCTCTCCAATTTCACAAACAAAAAACATTTCAAGACTTGTGTTTTTCCCCTCAACCTGAGAATCTTTGTGTTTTATTACTCTTTTTCACAATTTAAAGAAAAAGATAAAGGTGTTGGGCTCAAACCCATTATGGAATAGGTTATGATCATCAAGTAGTGAACAAGTTGCACCATTGTTCGTAACACAAAGTATAATATTTTTCCTTCACAAAGTACAAATTACACATGACAAATATCCGTTGCCACAGTTAACATTTTTCAGTACATAGTTACATACATGATAGATGGTTTTGGTTCGTGATTTAGGTTGTGATTCCGAATCCGAATGGGAAGAGAGGATGGTAGTTCTCGTCGCCGACGTTCAACGGAAGCTGACCCACGTTCTTCATCCAGGTGCGAGGCAACGTGCCGGTGAAGGGATGATCCCCAAACAAGACATCAGAGACTCCTTGTCCTTCGGTTCCTGGAAGCCAAGCGACTGCAAGAGCGTCCATGAAGTCAATGTAAGGCTCGATCGTTAGAGGACGCCCTGTGACCAGGATCACTAGACACTTCATGCCACTACCACAAGTGTGACTGATCGTGTCTGGACCTGGATCGGCTATCTGTAGCGTCTTGCTGTCCCCTAGTGACTCTGCGTAAGGAGCTTCACCTACGACAACAATTGTGTATGCTGCGTCGGCGTGAAGCTTGTGTGTATCTTGGTTTGGCTCCTCCACGTAGACAACTTCAGTGGTGGGATCCACTGTTTTCATGATGCCTTCCAAGATGGTAGTTCCTGTACATATATATATATATATATATTTTGAAACAACAATTTAGACTGAATATTACTATATATAGGCTATCAAATCTGGAATCTAATAAAAGACCAGCCATATTATAAGTTCTCTGTATATTATTGGACATTTAAATATTACCTTGGGTTTTACCGGTGGGGAGTCTCATGGCTTTGTTACGGCCGATATCTTCTCCGGTTCCGTTGAATCCTTGCCAGGTGAGAGTAAAGCCACCACATTGCCATCCCATGTCGTTAGCGTGTCGGCCCGCGACAACGATCTTTTTCACTTTCTTTGGGAGCGGAACGATTTTGTCGTCGTTTGTCTTCCCGCCGTTCTTTAGAAGCACCACTGATTTCCTCACCGCCTCTCTCGCTACTTCTCGATGCGCCTACAACGTTAAGAGTCCCCACATCATTTAGGTAGGCCAACTAACGCTTTATATAACGGTTTTGTGGTAATTTAATTTATATTATGTATCTAAAATGAAATCTTGACATATGGTTGAATTTACCGCAGATCCAAACTCGGCGATAAGAGTTTCCTCTGCCAATGGGTTCTCAAAGAGACCGAGAGAGAATTTGACTCTCAAGACCCTTCGAACAGCATCGTCTATACGGCTCATAGGGATGTATCCACCGTTCACTAGGTTTGTCAGTTTCTCCAAGAACTCTTTATACTCAAATGGAACCATAACCTGCATTTTAAAATCTCTCAGTTCAGATATCTAAACATATCAAGAATCAGTTTCTTGATTCTTGAAAGAGAGCTAACCATGTCAATGCCGGCATTAATGGCTGCTTCGATAGAGTACGTGTAGTTTGATCTGGCTGGAGTTGTGATCCTATCGATTCCAAGCCAATCAGAGATAACAAAGCCTTGGAAATTGAGGGTGTTCTTGAGGTAATCAGTGATCATCTCGCGGTTTGCGTGCATCTTAACACCGTTAAGACTAGAATAAGAAGCCATGATAGATGCGATCCCTTTCTTCACCGCAATCTCAAACGGAGGCATGTGGATTCCGAAGATTGTAGCGTTATCAGCCACAGTGTTGTTCTCGTTGATTCCATCTATCGTTCCTCCATCCCCAACAAAGTGTTTGGCGCAACCAGCCACTTTAGTCCTGACCGAGCAGATACACATTCTCACATTAGCTAGTGATCAAGATCAGTAAAATGTCTAGAATCAGCATTATAGTTTTTTGGGGTTACTTGAAATCAGCGACGTAAGGAGCCTCTCCCTGTAATCCATCCATGATACTTTCGGTCATCATATTCACAACTTTAGGATCTTCACTGTAGCTCTCATAACACCTTCCCCATCTTGGATCCCTGCAAACCTGTTCCATGCACCCGAGTTATAAAAAATTATATAAATCCATTTTCGCACATATATACATATATATATTTCATTTTATTTACCGCAACACAAGGTGCAAAAACTTGCGCGATTCCTGTAGCTCTGACTTCAAGCGCGGTTATAGCTCCGATCTTTTTAACAAGTTGAGGATCCCTACAACAACACGCATTCGCAACCACTAGATCTTATCAGCATATATCCGATTAAACTATAAAACGCCACGAAATTTCTAAGAATATATATATACCTGGTGGCACCAAGACCGACGTTGTGGGGGAAAATGGTGGCATTGATAAAAGTGTTGTGGCCATGAACCGCATCGATAGCGTAAAGCAAAGGGATTCCGAGCCTCGTCGAAAGACTCAGTTTCTGCATTGTGTTCGCTACGAGCACCCGCTTTGATGGACTAGCCCCGGTGTCGTACGGATTGCTCAAAACATTTCCTATACTCAGTGCACCCACCACATATATATTCTCAGTTATAAGTTATTCATCATTACACGGTTTTACGTATTAGAAATCGTGGTTCGTACGTACCGATCATGTACTTTGTGAAGATTTCTTGTCCCGTGGGAAAGAAGGAGTAGTTGAATCGATCAACCTGACACATTTGACCAAGTTTCTCTGGTAATGTCATTTGTGCTAACAGATCCTCTACTCTCTCTTCTACGGGCGCTTGTGGGTCTTTGTACTTTATGTAGCCTCTGGCCGCTGCGGTGGCGTCTCCGTAACGGCAGGCGAACAATATCACAATTGCCGCCAAAAGGAAAAGGTTCCTGACGCCGTATATTGTCGCCGCCATTGCTGGAGGCCCTCTTGTAACCAGGGAGAGAATTCAGAATATTGATCTAGAAAATATTTTGATTTTTCTAAACCCTGAAATGAAAGTAAACAAGGACGGATCATTTATAGTATTTTTTTTTCTATTAACTTGGCCGCTAATTAATGACAAACGGTAAATTATTTAGCGTCTGTTATTTGTTGGCGCTCTAAATTTAAAACGAACAAAACGAAAAACACAATAATAATTTTGTGGGATTAAATGGTAGAATAAATATAAACCGTCTATTTGTGGATTATCTCCATTAACGACACACGTTTTTGTTTGTTACAGAAACTAATTTACCCGTAACTTTTATTAGGCCGACATTTTGATTCGACCCAATGGGCTTAAAATTATTAGGGCCCAATTAGTATTAGACAGAGAAAGCGAATCTCTCAGAGAGTTTTTACCTTACCACACACTATGCTTACTGACCCGCACCAAGTTTACGCGTCCAGACAGGCAGGCATGTCCTGTCTGACATTTCACAAAAATTCAAATATTATTTTATGGTTATTTACTTCTTTAATCCAAATTTTAATGCTTTTCTTCTTCTTTTAAAGCTTCTTAATCTCTTCGTTGATCCTTCCCTTTACGAGGCAGGGTTCCAAAACGCGTATAGGTTTTTTCATTTGTCGTGATTACAAATTACAAAGACAAGAAAATTTCCGTGGATTTTGCCTGATTCTCTGCTAGATTTGGTATTGTGTCTGGAATCGGGACCAGATCTGTGGGTCGAAACAAGATGATAGAGAAGTGCATAGGAACGCATCGGTATCGGAGATTACAGAGAGTCTGGCGTCAAGGAAAGGTGACGCTTCTCTGCCTCGTTCTCACCGTCGTCGTCCTACGTGGCACAATCGGAGCCGGTAAGTTCGGAACGCCGGAGCAAGACATCGAGGAGATCCGCGAGCATTTCTTCTACACGCGCAAACGCGCCGAGCCTCACCGTGTCCTCGTCGAGGTCTCGACCAAAACGGCGTCGTCGTCGTCGTCCGAAGGCGGGGACGGAAATGGCAACAACTACGAGACCTTCGACTTCAACAAGATATTCGTTGACGAAGGAGATGAAGAGAAATCTCAGGACCGGAGTAAACCGTATTCCCTCGGACCTAAGATCTCCGATTGGGATGAGCAGAGGGTTGATTGGCTCAAACAAAACCCGAGTTTCCCAAATTTCGTGGCGCCGAACAAGCCTAGGGTTCTTCTCGTGACGGGTTCAGCTCCTAAGCCGTGCGAGAACCCAGTGGGAGACCATTACCTCTTGAAATCGATCAAGAACAAAATCGACTACTGTCGAATCCACGGAATCGAGATCTTCTACAACATGGCGTTGCTCGATGCTGAGATGGCTGGGTTCTGGGCTAAGCTTCCGTTGATCCGGAAGCTACTCTTGTCTCATCCTGAGATCGAGTTTATATGGTGGATGGACAGTGACGCGATGTTTACGGACATGGTGTTCGAGCTCCCCTGGGAGAGGTACAAGGAGTACAACCTCGTGATGCACGGCTGGAACGAGATGGTTTACGACCAGAAGAACTGGATTGGTCTCAACACCGGAAGTTTCTTGCTTAGGAACTCACAGTGGGCGCTCGATCTCCTCGACGCCTGGGCTCCGATGGGCCCCAAAGGGAAGATCCGAGAAGAAGCGGGTAAAATCTTGACCCGGGAGCTCAAAGACCGACCCGCATTCGAAGCCGACGATCAATCCGCGATGGTCTATCTGCTGGCGACGGAGAGAGAGAGATGGGGAGGCAAAGTTTATCTGGAGAGCGGGTACTACTTGCACGGTTATTGGGGGATTTTGGTGGACCGGTACGAGGAGATGATCGAGAATCATAAACCGGGTTTCGGAGACCATCGGTGGCCACTCGTCACGCATTTCGTCGGCTGCAAACCGTGCGGGAAGTTCGGGGATTATCCGGTGGAGAGGTGTCTCCGGCAGATGGACAGAGCGTTCAATTTCGGAGACAACCAGATCCTTCAGATGTACGGGTTCACGCATAAGTCGCTTGGGAGCCGGCGCGTGAAACCAACGCGTAACCAGACGGACAGGCCGCTCGATGCCAAGGACGAGTTTGGGCTGCTTCATCCGTCGTTTAAAGCGGCGAAGCTCACGACGACGACGACTTGATGATGAAAGAATTATTGTTTCATTCCTTTTTTAATTTGTTTGTAGTTTACTAGTATTTGATCTCCCATTGATGGTGGTGGAGTCGTGTATGGAGGAGAGTATTTAATGATTTGTTCTAATCAATTTATTGTAGACGTAATTTCATCATAATTAGCCTTTTTTGAAATGATGTTCTTGTATACATATAAAAACTGATTTACCCCCCAATACTTTTGTTTATTACACATATGTTCCTTGTAGCTTTAGTTTATTACATAAATGCTCAATAGTTTATTACTTTTGTTCCCGTTACTTTTTGGTTATAACTTGTGTGCCTGATATTTTCTAAAATTTATAGATTTTACACAATACTTAATTCTACTAGGTTAATCACCACACCAGTATCAAATTTAATGAGAATATTATTACACAATCTTTTTTTTTTGTAATCAGTTGACAAAAAAAAATTATTACACAATCTTAACCCCGATTTTTTTTTTTTTTTTTATATAGTTTATCAATAAAAGTATTTAATTGTCGTCTCAACATGCACCGCAATTGCCATAATACCTTTTATCAAGAAACATCCTCGCGATCCTCCCGTTGGCACCACACGGCCAAAACCCGCCGGGGCGGTGCTCATCTCCGGTTCCGTACATAACCCTGAGGATCTCTTGCGGTGTCCGGTCATAAGAAAGAGAGTATGCATCGGCGGCGAGGATGTTGCTGGTGGTGCGATTTTCCGCTCCTAGCCACGGAGGCACGCACAAGCCTTCATCTTTGATCCCGCACATACCGAGCTTGTTGCGGAGGATAGATATCTCGTTGGTCAGTTCAGCCACCGTGACTCCACCGTATTCCTCCACCGTCTCGTCCTGTCTCTCGTAAAGGAGCGTCCTTATCACTCCGTCTTGACCCGATTCCACCCCCAAAAGTCCCGCCACAAGCTGATAATATATTAACATCTTAATCTTCATTAGTTATAAGATATTAAATTCGATCATACGAATCAGTCACTATATGATATAGTTTAAAACTTCTATACGTAGTTATTAGCCACTTGTGTAAATGTATCCGATAACGTGATGAATATAGCATTAGAGTACCCATTTACACATGATTTTGAATATGAGAGTATCGTTGCACTAGGATATTTTTTAATATACTGTATATTAGTGAAATTTAATGTTTTGGAATATTCATAACCTGTTAGGTTTATTATACACTATACAATGTTCAACAAATATATTAATTACCTAAATATGGTCATATTTTTCAAGGTTTATTTGTAAAATCCGTAATCAAATGATAAATATATCTTCTTGTCGTTTTTGCTAAATCAGGGATAATGATAATTGGTTACCCGTTTGAAATTGAAGTAGACAAGATAAGGGATGGCCCCGACATAACCGGTGAGACCAACATAAGGGATATAGTATGAAGCTAAAAGATAGTTGCGTGTGTTCGCATAAGGATCAAAACGCGGGTTTGATCTACGTCCAACGGCTCTGTCCATAAACATGGCAAAATTTTCTCTCGTCAGATTCAACAGCGGACGCCGAATCCCTCCCGTCATATCCGCAATCGCCCTTCACAAACAAAAGTAAGCTCTCTAATGGATTTGCTTTACATTTGACCTAATACTTAATTTTTCATCATTTATTAAACGTTGAAAAAATGAGCAGAAAGATTTATCATATACCTAAGATGACCAATTTCTTGATAACCAAACTCCTCGATGATTCGCTTAGTTATAGGATCAAGATTGGCTTTTCTGGCGCCAACCGGGGCTGGTCCGCCTTTAGCAAGTGTTGCGTTAAACGCATCGAGTCCTTTTCCGGTAGACGCTTTCAAGAAGAATTCGGCTTCCGTGAACTCCACGTTCATCGCTAACTGAACTAGATCAACATCAGTCGCTGATATATTCCCCGAGCAACTAGGATACCGATGAGAGTTAACCGGAGTTGCATCTATTCTTGATATTACACCAATAACCAAGACGAGAAGGAGACAGGTTTTATACATATCTTTTTCGTTTTTGTTCCTCTGATAACTATTATTGTGTTCAATGCATATGTACGCAAGAACTCTTAACTTTAATTTATACAGGGTCGTAATGTTATTTTCTTAATTATTGTAGTTAATTTTTTTTTTCTATTGTATTGTTGAGGACCATACGTGAATACTAGGTTTAGTAGCTTATTTTGGTATAAACGGAATATTGACAAGTGTTTCCAAACCACTTAGCTAGCTATAATATTCGCCATTACGTGGGGTAATTAACATGATTTATCTGCTTCTGTCATGTTGTCTTCTTGACGATTTATTTCGTGGGGTTGGTTTATGAATTGTGAGATTTCTTACCACTAAACAAGAAGTTATAGTACCTTGAAAATAACTTGGGATTTAAAGCTTACTTGTTTTACTCTCAACCGATTTTAAAAGTTGGTAGATGAGCACCTGTCAAAAAGAAAAAAATAAAATAAAAATTGGTAGATGAAAGACATAGGACAAAAAAGAAGAAGAGGTGTTTTGACAGGTGATGCATTGTCCTTAGGAGGAGGTGTTTTTGTTTGAAGATATGGATAAATTCGTGAGTTTAGATATTTGCATAATAGGCCAAGGAAAATATAACCACCGGTCAAGAGAGTCAAATGAAGAGTATAGTTTACTGTAACAACCAATCTCTATGTTTCTAACTAGCTCAACGCAAAATCATATATTTATTAACCAAAAAAAAAAGTGATCGGAGAAGGTATTTTTTGTAAACAAGGTATATATATAAAAAATTGAATTATTGTTTCTAAACGGGCAAATTTCAGTGAAAAAAAAAATATTATTTTACGCTTAGGAATTATTTTCTTATTAAAATAAGTTCCTACGGATCTATCACAGCAAAGCGCATCTGGTGTAGTGGTATCATAGTACCCTCCCACGGTACTGACCAGGGTTCGATTCCCTGGATGCGCAATTCTTTTTTCCTTCATATGCGTTAAGGAGAAATAAATATCTGCTTTTTTTTTTGGTTGGATACTTTTTATTCGTTTACAAGAAGGAGAAATAGAGTTTTGACTTTGTTGGGTGGGACTGGTGGGTTCACTATCTAACCAACTCTAGCGCACAGATAACATGTCGACTGCCTAATTCAACAAGAAGAAAATATCTGTGGAAGAAAAGATTTTCACTTGTAACATTTCAAACTAAATTAACATTATCTCTTGTTTTCTTATTCTCCAAAATTGTTATTTATTCTACAATTGAACCATTATGATGTGTTACTTATATATAGTTGTTTGGAAATCCAAACAGGAATACTAATTAGGTTTATAATTTTGTTGACAAAAAAAAATAAAAAACGTTTATGACTACAGAAATTTTGAAACCTTGCAAGTCTCGGTCACATCAAGAGTATTACACGTAAGGACAAAGAGATGCTTCTTTAGTCTTCTTCGCATATAATTATTGCTTTTTACGAGTGGAACAAGGGATAGTAAAGGTAGGGCACTCGCTACTGTTTTTAAAAAAGATCCAAGAAAACGACTCAACGTTGCCCTTACCATTATTTATTTGTTCTCCCTCGAACTCAGAGATGAAAGAAGGAAAATAAAACAAAGATGCAACTTTCCTCTCTGTTTTCCGTATCTCTGGTCATCATCGCTTTGGCAACAAGCCACGTCGACGCTTTCACCAGACACGATTTTCCAAAGGATTTCCTCTTTGGAGCTGCTTCTTCTGCGTATCAGGTTCGACTCTTGCTTCTGGCTTTTTCGTTTTGTTTTTCAAGTCTTAAAATCCGTTTCTTCTTCTTTTGTTCTTGATTTGTGATGATGTTTTGGAATTTTGGGGGAAATAATAGTGGGAAGGAGCTTTTGATGAAGAAGGAAGGACTCCAAGCGTTTGGGATACTTTCGCCCACTCTAGTAAGTTTTTCTCTTTATTAAATGTCTTTTTTTTTTCTATTGAAATTGTACATTTATTTTGTGAATTCATATATAAATCAATCGTCTTTTTCTCTGTATTGTGTGCTTCCATCTATTTGGCATTTTAATTTACCAAGTTTAAAGGGTTTTATCTATCTGAGAATTCGTTTGGTTGGATTCATAGATATTTGGTTGAAAAAACTTGCAGATAATATGGGTGATGGAGATATAGCATGTGATGGCTATCACAAATACAAGGTTTCTCTCCTTTATTATTTATTTTTTTGCATTGCTTTATTTTTATCTTGACAAATAAGTTACCCTAAGTCTTTGGTTCTGTTTTCTAAAATTTGTTTTCATTGACACTTTCGCAGGAAGATGTTAAGCTGATGGCAGAAATGGGTTTAGAAGCTTTCAGATTCTCCATTTCATGGACAAGGCTTATACCTAGTACTGTCTCTTCCGGTTTCTTACCTTGCAAGTAACGATCTTATTTCTTAGTGCTTATGCCATTTTTCGTCTATGTAATTTTTTTTTCAGATGGAAGAGGACCCATTAACCCAAAAGGTTTATGGTTTTACAAGAACCTTATCAAAGAACTACGAAACCATGGTTAGATTTTATCATTAAACGTTGATCGCAAAATATTAAAGCTAATTCATAGCTTGCGATAAATTTTTTGACAAAAACTACCAACAGGAATCGAACCACATGTTACACTTTACCACTATGATCTTCCTCAAACTTTTGAAGATGAGTATGGAGGATGGATCAACCGCAAAATCATGTAAATGATAACAAAGATTCTGATCTAACAAAGTCTTGTTATATAGTTTTAAAAGGCGAATTAAAAAAAAGGAAATTTTGTTGTTGTTGCAGAGAAGACTTCACTGCTTTTGCAGATGTATGCTTCAGAGAGTTTGGGGATGATGTCAAGTTATGGACTACAATCAACGAAGCTACAATATTCGCCATTGCTTCTTATAGCGAAGGATTCGCGCCACCGGGACATTGTTCTCCTTCCAAATTCAGCAATTGCTCTACCGGAAATTCTTCTACTGAACCATATCTTGCAGGCCATAACATGTTGTTAGCTCATGCCTCTGCGTCAAAATTGTATAGACTAAAGTACAAGGTATATAACAAAATGAATCTGTTTTTCACTCTTAAAACGCTAAACCTTGAATCCTTATAAGCATAATATGATGATGCAGAGTAAGCAGAGAGGATCCGTAGGCTTTAGCATATATGCATTTGGGTTATCTCCTTATAGTAACTCCAAGGACGATCAAATCGCAACTCAAAGAGCTGAAGCTTTCCTCTTTGGCTGGTGAGGACAAATAGTCTTTTGTTTTTTCTGTTTGTTGTTTCAGTAACTTTGAAGACAAAAACTCAAAAGTAAATTGATAATCCATTTCAGGATGTTGAAGCCTTTGGTGTTTGGGAAGTATCCAGATGAAATGAAGAGAATCTTGGGATCGAGGTTACCAGTTTTCTCAGAGGAAGAGTCCGAGCAAGTTAAAGGATCATCTGACTTTGTAGGAATTATCCACTACATGACAGTCTATGTCAAAAACAATAAACCTACACCTCCTCTTCTTCCCAGCAGACATGACTTCTATACAGACATGGGCGCAGAGACTATATGTAAACTTACTTTTACTTTCATCATTACTCAAATCGAAATTTTTTCTCAACTCTTATAACTGATCATTCTTCTTCTTTTGGATAGTCATGGAGAATTCTACATTCTTCGAGGTAAGGCCTGCAAAAATAAAATAAAAATTATAGATTTGATCTTCTCCTTGAATCTATAAATTTCTCAATTTGAATGTGCTTATTTTTTTTTTGAAGTGGGAGGCTACTCCACAAGGTCTTGAAAGTGTGTTGGAAAATCTGAAGCAGAACTATAACAATCCTCCAATCTACATTCTTGAGAACGGTCCACTTCATTATCTTTTGTCTCATTACTCTGTTTTTGTCTTCTTGAAAGCACTACACTTTTGTTCTTATGATTCTTTCAATTTTGCTAAAATAACAGGTAAACCGATGAAACATGGTTCGACGCTACAAGACTCAGAAAGAGTTGAATACATTCAAGCTTACCTTGGTGCTGCGCTCAACGCCATCAAGTATGATTCTCCTTCTTCGTCTTTTTAATTAAATGATCTGTTGTTGTTAAGTGTGATCCGGTTTAGTTTCGGTTAAGTTGACGCTCTCTGTGTTTGATTTCTACTGGTTAGGAACGGATCGGACACAAGAAGTTACTTTGTATGGTCGATGATAGATTTGTACGAGTTGTTGAGTGGATACATGTACAGTTATGGGATGTACTATGTGAATTTCAGCGATCCTGGTCTCAAGAGGTCTCCAAAGCTCTCTGCTTCTTGGTACTCTGGTTTTCTCAATGGTACAGTTGATATTGATCCTCAAGCTATTACTCGGTTACAGAGCAACTTCTCTGGTTCCTTTTCATTTGTAATATAAATAAGGATTCTGGTTCGTTTTTGATCCGTATTTGGTTTTCAGTTTGGTAATGGAAGTTCATATAATTCAATGCCAAAATGCTTTAAGGAACGAATTATATTGTCAAACAAATCCACATATGTTGTATGTAGGTAACAAAATAAAATTCGGAAACCAATTAAGATTTTTCTTTTTGAACATTTTTGTTAGTAAATGATAAATATATTAGCTTACCAGAAGGAGTAAATAGATTTGGGAAAACAGGAATCGAACCACAAGTTACACTTTACCACTATGATCTTCCTCAGCCTCTTGAAGATGAGTATGGAGGATGGATCAACCGCAAAATCATGTAAAATGATCAAAAAGACTCTGAACTAACAAAGTCTTATCAAAAACATTTTATGTTAAAACTGTAACAAAGATTGTTGTTGCAAAGAAGACTTCACTGCTTTTGCAGATGTATGCTTCAGAGAGTTTGGGGATGATGTCAAGTTATGGACTACAGTCAACGAAGCTAACATATTCGCCGTTGGTGCTTACAGCGGAGGGTATTTGCCGCCAGGACATTGTTCTGTTAACACATTCGTCAATTGCTCTATCGGAAATTCTTCTACTGAACCATATCTTGCAGGCCATAACATGTTGTTAGCTCATGCCTCTGCGTCAAAATTGTATAGACTAAAGTACAAGGTATATAAAAACCTATGAATTTTGTCAATCTGAAAACGCTAAACCTTACATCCTTACGAAACATAACATGATGATGGTGCAGAGTAAGCAGAGAGGATCCGTAGGCTTTTGCATTTTTGCATTCGGGTTATATCCTTATACGAACTCCAAGGAGGATGAAATCGCAACTGAGAGAGCCAAAGATTTCCACCTTGGCTGGTGAGAAAAAAAAAGAGTTTATGCTTTCTTGTTTCAGTAACTTGGAGTACAAGTTTTGATGACTTGGAAGTTGTTAAGCCAGGATGTTGAAGCCTTTGGAATTTGGAGACTATCCGGATGTAATGAAAAGAAGCTTGGGATCGAGGTTGCCGGTTTTCTCAGAGGAAGAGTCGGAGAAAGTTAAAGGTTCGTCTGATTTTGTTGGAATCATCCACTACACGACACTCTACGTAAGAAAGCGTAGACCCGCACCTTCTGTCCTTCCCAGCAACCGAGAGTTCTTCACAGACATGGGAGTAGATATGCTCTGTAAGCCCTACTTTGCTTTCATCATTAATCAATCTGAGAAAAGTCGTCTCGACTCTTTTTGGCTGATAATTCTTCTTTTCTTTTCACAGTCATTGGGGAATCCTCATTCGGTTTTGTAAGACCTGCAAAATCCCATTTGATCCATCTTGTCGAATCTAGAAATCTGCCTGCTTTTTTTTTTTGAAGTGGGATAATGTTCCATGGGGTTTTGAAATTGTCTTGGAGTATCTGAAACATAACTATGACAATCCTCCAATCTACATTCTTGAAAGCGGTCCATTTCTTTCTCTCTTTTTTTTTTTTTTTTGTCAATTCTTGCTCTGTTTTGTCTGCTTGAACTTGTTCTAAAGATGCTTCCATTTGCTAAAAATAAAAAATAGGCAAACCGATGGAACACGGTTCGGGGCTACAAGACGCACCGAGAGCTGAATACATCGAATCTTGCATTGGTGCTGTGCTCAACGCCATCAAGTATGATTCTCCATATCCAAGCTTTTTGTCTTTTCATATATTTGGTCTATCCCGGTTTACTCTTACTCTCTGATCCTGACAAATCTTTCTGACTGATTAGGAATGGATCCGACACGAGAGGTTACTTTGTATGGTCGATGATTGACCTGTACGAGTTATTGTTTGATTACAAGAACAGCTATGGAATGTACTATGTGAATTTCAGCGATCCTGATCTCAAGAGGTCTCCAAAGCTCTCTGCCTCTTGGTACTCTGGTTTTCTCAATGGTACGATTGATGCTGATCCTCAAGCCATCACTCGCTTACAGAGCAACTTCTCTGGTTCCTCTTCATTCTAATCTTCTCGTACACAAATATAAATAAGGATCCAGATTCGCTTTGAGTTTTGGTAATGGAAGTTCATATTTTCTATGCCAAATGGTTTAATAAAGATTTGCATTTGATGTAGCTCGTAAGACCAAAATGAGTTGCGTAAAATAAATAACAACACTCTTAAGTCTTAACACAACCACAAAAGACACAGAGAGTCAGAGACATGTGTGATCAGGAATTAAAGATATTTTTTTATCGTTTTGTCGGGAATGGTCCACTGTATGCAGACGTGTTCTGTCGTCTCCCTAATTCAAGAAGTGACCATGTCAAACAATAAAGCTCTCTACCTACTCTTTTTTTTTCCATGTAATTAGAGGTTAAAAAAAAAAACATTTTTAGCTATGAGCATATTTTTCTTTAACACAAAATACAATGAAAAAAAAACTTAATCCACCATCAGTTTATAATTTTCTATAAACACATATGTGGGCCGTGGAGTTAGTTGATTGGCAATGTAAAAATGGAATAACTCTCACGTTTATTATTGGTGTGAGTGGAAAAAGAGATGTGCTGACATACGAAGTAATGGTCCGTTTATACAAGTGGGAGAAGGAGAATTTATAACGACTAATTATTTATCGTATCACCAAAACTGGAGGAAACCCCCAAAAAAAAAAAGATGAAACCTTTCTCTCTGTTTGCCATTTCTGTGGTCATCGTTTTGGCAGCAAGCTACAGCGATGCCTTCACCAGAAATGATTTTCCAGAGGATTTCCTCTTCGGAGCAGCCACTTCAGCTTATCAGGTTCGACTTTGCTTCTGTGTGTTCTTCGTTTTTTCTTTTTCATTCTTACAAAAATCGATTTTTGGAATTTTGGGGGAAATAGTGGGAAGGAGCAGTTGATGAAGACGGAAGAACTCCAAGCGTCTGGGATACTTTCTCCCACTCTGGTTAGCTTCTTTCATTTTCATTTTAAAGTATATATTGATGGTATTACATCTGTTCTAGAAATTACTAAGTGTCATTCGTCGTTTTTGTATAGTGATATTCGTACTACATATGTTTCTTTTTTTTTTTTTTGCAGATAACAAAGGTAATGGAGATATAGCGTGTGATGGGTATCACAAATACAAGGTTTTTCTATCACTCTTCTTTGCCTTGCTCTTTTGTTGTTGTTTTCTTAAATTCTTTTGGCTTTTGCAGGAAGATGTTAAGCTCATGGCAGAAATGGGCTTAGAAGCATTCAGATTCTCTATCTCATGGTCAAGACTCATACCTAGTAAACGCTTCTTCTGCTTCTTCTTTTTAAACTTGCAAGTACATAACGACCTTGTTTCTGTGAATCTTGAACCCCTTTTTTTGTGTATGTTGTGTGGTTTCTCAGATGGAAGAGGACCCATTAACCCTAAAGGTCTATGGTTTTACAAGAACCTCATCAAAGAACTACGAAACCATGGTGAGATGATTTCTCCCTTCAGCTTAATCGCTAATGTGAAAGCTATTTTCTTTGTTTTTGATATAAAAGATTTGGCAAACAGGAATCGAACCACACGTTACACTTTACCACTATGATCTTCCTCAGAGTCTTGAAGATGAGTACGGAGGATGGATCAACCGCAAAATCATGTAAACCATCTAACAATATTCTGATCTAACAAAGTCTTTATATATATACACATTTTATGATGAATTGAAGAGCCAAAGGTTTATTGTTGTTGCAGAGAAGACTTCACTGCCTTTGCAGATGTATGCTTCAGAGAGTTTGGGGATGATGTCAAGTTATGGACTACAATTAACGAAGCTAACATATTCGCCATTGGTGCTTACAGCGAAGGAATTTTGCCGCCAGGACATTGTTCTATTACCAGTTTCGTCAATTGCTCCGCTGGAAATTCTTCCACCGAACCATATATTGCGGGCCATAACTTATTGCTAGCTCATGCCTCTGCTTCAAAATTGTATAGACTAAAGTACAAGGTACACACACACACATATATATATATATATTGTTGGCTCTTTTAAACTCTTGAATTTTTATGAAGAACATATGATGGTGCAGAGTAAGCAGAGAGGATCCGTAGGGTTTAGCATATATGCATATGGGTTATATCCTTATACAAACTCCAAGGAGGATGAAGTCGCGACTCAGAGAGCCAAAGATTTCTTCTTTGGCTGGTGAGTTTTTGGTTTCTTGTTTCAGTAACTTTGAGCACAAGATCTGATGACTCTGGAATTTGATAAAACCAGGATGTTGAGGCCTTTGGTATTTGGGGACTATCCGGATGTAATGAAGAGCAGCTTGGGATCGAGGTTACCAGTTTTCTCAGAGGAAGAAACAGAGCAAGTTAAAGGTTCATCTGATTTTGTGGGAATTATCCACTACACGACCGTCTATATCAGAAAGGGTAGACCCTCACCTTCTATCCTTCCCAGCAACCGAGAGTTCTTTGCAGACATGGGAGTAGATACGATCTGTAAGCTTAATTACTTTCTTTTCATCATCAATCATTCGAGAAAAGGCTTCTCGACTCTTTTGCCTGATAATTCTTCTTCTTCTCTTTGCACAGTCATTGGGAATTCCTCATACTTTACGGTAAAAACCTGCAAGAAGCTACTGATCAATCTCCATGAATCTATAAGTTTGACTAATTTGATTGTTTTAATCTTCTCAAGTGGGATGCTATTCCATGGGGTTTTGAAAATGTCCTCGAGTATCTGAAACAGAGCTATAACAATCCTCCAATCTACATTCTTGAAAACGGTCCACTTCTTTCTTCTTTTTTTTGTCAATTCTTGAAACCAAACTTGCTTCCTTCTTCTTAAGATTCTTCCATTTGCTAAAAACAAAAATACAGGTTTACCGATGGAACACGGTTCGGGGATACAAGACACACCAAGAGTTGAATACATTCAATCATACATTGGTGCTATGCTCAACGCCATCAAGTATGACTCTCCAGTTATCCATCCATCTTTTACTCTACTCTCTGATATTCTGACAAATCTTTTTGACTGATTAGGAATGGATCCGACACGAGGGGTTACTTTTTCTGGTCCATGATTGACTTGTACGAGTTGTTGGCTGGATACAAGAACAGTTTTGGATTGTGCTATGTGAATTTTAGCGATCCTGATCTCAAAAGGTCTCCAAAGCTCTCTGCTTCTTGGTACTCTGGTTTTCTCAATGGTACGGTTGATGTTGCTTCTCAGGATATTACTCAGCTGCAGAGCAACTTCTCTGGCTCTTCTTCTTTCTGATGTAGACTTGTCTTTATATTTCACTACTAAGGATTTTGATGCTGTATTGGTTTGAGTTGGTCCATTCAATGACAAAAACTCTGTGATTTGGCAAATGGTTTAATCAAATTTGTACTCGAGATCCCCACTCATAGGTCGCATAGATTCTGAAAGATGGTAAAACAGATAACATAAGTCTAGGAGACACAAGCTTCCCCAAATCAAATGAGCAACCCTCGGCTCAAAATTTGGTGGTAATAATTAAATAATTGTTTTACGCTGCTCAAGACAGAAGCGCATCTGGTGTAGTGGTATCATAGTACCCTCCCACGGTACTGACCAGGGTTCGATTCCCTGGATGCGCATTGTCTTTTTAATTTTTAATTTTTCACAATAGAAAACTTAGAAATATGTCTCTATAGACCATCAAAGCTTTACGTTGGAGATTGCTCAAAGCTATTCAGTTAATAATAACCTTACTTTTTCGAGACATCTCGCAGTTATAGAGCGACTCACCTGTTTCTTCTTCACGGTGATGTACTTTTAGTATATTGTTGCCACTTCTTATTCTAATAACACATTCACCTAATTTTGTTCGTAAGAATGTTACTAGTGTGAGATATCAAATGGTGAGATAATACACAAGAGAATAGCCTTCAAGCCAAACATCTACAATATAGGGAAATTCAATGTCGTATAACGAAAAGAGAAGTAAGGAACCGAACATGCTTCACCATTTATTTAAGCAGGGGCCATTATAAAGTACCCAAAACACAAACCATGACAAGTTTTCGAAACATGAAACAGAAAGGAAACATGAAACAGAAAGAAAACATAACAAAGTCGCCAGGCACAACTTCTTAGAAACCACCACGAAGACGGAGAACCAAATGAAGAGTCGACTCCTTCTGGATGTTGTAGTCGGCCAATGTGCGACCATCCTCAAGCTGTTTCCCAGCGAAGATGAGACGCTGCTGGTCCGGAGGGATCCCTTCCTTGTCTTGGATCTTTGCCTTCACGTTATCAATCGTGTCCGAGCTCTCAACCTCCAGAGTGATGGTCTTACCGGTCAATGTCTTCACGAAAATCTGCATACCTCCACGAAGACGGAGAACCAAGTGAAGTGTAGACTCCTTCTGAATGTTGTAATCCGCCAAGGTGCGACCATCCTCGAGCTGCTTTCCAGCGAAGATGAGACGCTGCTGGTCCGGAGGGATTCCCTCTTTATCCTGAATCTTGGCCTTCACGTTATCGATTGTGTCAGAGCTCTCCACCTCGAGGGTAATCGTCTTGCCAGTGAGTGTCTTCACGAAGATTTGCATACCACCACGGAGACGCAACACCAAGTGAAGTGTAGACTCCTTCTGGATGTTGTAGTCAGCCAATGTTCTGCCGTCTTCAAGCTGCTTTCCGGCGAAGATCAGCCTCTGCTGATCCGGAGGAATGCCTTCTTTGTCCTGGATCTTGGCCTTCACGTTGTCAATGGTGTCCGAGCTCTCCACCTCCAGGGTAATGGTCTTGCCCGTCAAGGTTTTAACGAAGATCTGCATACCTCCACGAAGCCTGAGAACTAGATGAAGAGTCGACTCCTTCTGAATGTTGTAGTCAGCAAGAGTTCGTCCGTCCTCGAGCTGCTTTCCGGCGAAGATGAGACGCTGCTGGTCCGGAGGGATTCCCTCTTTATCCTGAATTTTGGCCTTGACGTTATCGATTGTGTCAGAGCTCTCCACCTCGAGGGTGATCGTCTTTCCCGTTAGGGTTTTGACGAATATTTGCATACCACCACGGAGCCTGAGGACCAAGTGAAGAGTCGACTCCTTCTGGATGTTGTAATCGGCCAATGTTCTGCCGTCTTCCAACTGCTTTCCGGCGAAGATTAGCCTCTGCTGATCCGGTGGGATTCCCTCCTTATCCTGGATCTTGGCTTTAACGTTGTCGATCGTGTCAGAGCTTTCCACCTCAAGGGTGATCGTTTTCCCGGTGAGAGTCTTAACGAAGATCTGCATCTGAAATTCAGAAAAGAATCAGATCAATAATCAATTTCAGAAGCAGAAAAAACTCAGATCAACGAAATCGCTTCCATATACAAAAATCCAATCGCACAAAACACGAATCAGATCCGATCAATAAATTGATCACAGATCTGGTGTGTAAGCAAATCACAGATCAACGCTTTAACAACTCAGATGTAAACGAATAAATCAAAAAGATGATATCTACCGGCAAAACGAAGCAAATTCAAAGAATAGAGATAATCAATTGCGATCGAACAAAACAACTAATCGAAGAAAAATCCTAATAAGAAATCAGAAATATACCTTGATCGTAATTCGCGATGAGAATTGAGAAGATTGTTTTAGGTTTTCGGAATGTGAATATGTGAAGGAGAAAAGGGCTTTGGGGCTCTCTTATTTATATACTAAAGGATAAGGACGATTCGGTCACGACTCACGCGAGCTATGTATGGCGGTGAAGCAATAAACAGTCAAAATATGACACGTGTATGGTGAGTTGTGAAATTACGGGGCCTATCTTCAAAACCCTATCTCGTAGAGAAATTCGTGCTAAGTTTTCCTTTTTTTAAATGCAAGTGGGCTACGTTTCTTCCTTTTTTTGTCGAAGTGGGCTTTTCAACTTGTGAATTTTAAAATCGGGGAACCTTTTTGAAAAACAAAATAATCCTCTTGACCCAAGAAAAAAATAAACCAAAGTTGTGAAATAAAATAATCTCTATTCTTTTGACGGCAAATCATCGGCTAATGATTTTTGTATCAAGTCGGTAATCCATGTTTTTGTAGGTTAATCGGAGTTCCAAAAACTCAAGGTTTTCATATTATTATTTTGTTCACCAAAAATTATTTGTAACATGTAAACGCAAACATACATAAATTCTTTTGTTTTGCGTTTACATTCACAAGTAAACTTTGATCACGATAGTAAAAGCTTTAGGAAAGTAGTAAATGCAGAAAAGAAAAACCAATGTTGACCCAAAACGAAACATCAAAACAGAGAAAAAAAGAAAAGACCAAAGACGTAGAGAGACAGTCTTTCGATCAGTCGGTCGTGGGAGCAACGGTCAAGCCAGGAGAGACTTTAAGGAAAGCCGGACGAGAACAGAGGTCGTCCCACCAAGCCTTGACTTTAGGACGGTCGTTGACCAAACCGGCATGACTCGTCTTCATGAAGTAGTAAGTGTAGGGAACGTGGTGGAGATCAGCGAGCGTGTACGAATCTCCGGCCAAGTATTTTGTCTTCCCAAGTCTCTCTTCGTACACGTCGAGCACTTTCTCTAGCTTCTCCAGATTCTCCTTCACGATGCCTGCATCAGGAGATTTCTCGCCTTGAAGTGGGACGACGATGAGCTGGTGGATGACGGCGGAGATCGCCGGGTTGAAGTGGTGGGCCTCCACTTCCGACCATAACTTCACAATCGCTGCTTCTTTAGAGTCTTGGTGTCTTGTCAAATCCGTTCCTTCTTCTTTGTGTTTCTCTGCTACATACGCCGTGATTGCCCTCGACTCTGTTTTTTTTTTATCCATAATATATCAGTATTAGAACTGAAATCATTAGATATATAAGAGAAAAAAAACAAAATAATTATAATATTGATACTAACCGAAAAGGGTGAGATCGTCGTCTTGTAGAACTGGAACTTGGCCAAAGGGCTGCATTGAGAACAAATATGAATAGATACATAATACGTATAAGATATAATTAACATGCGCATAATAGCAATGTGTTTTATGCGTACGTTCATGGATAGGAAAGAAGGGAGCTTGTGATCGCAAGCAAAGAGATTGACGGGGACAAGCTCGAACTCAGTGTTCTTCTCGTGAAGGCAGAGAAGGACACGTGCCACGCACACTGACATTTGGTCTCCATATACCTTCATCACCATTTTCTCGTAACTCGATCGGAATTAGAGAGAGCGAGTCTGAGATATAACCGTGATCGATCTCATTTGCTTGATTTACTTTCTATATATATAACAGATGCTTCGTATTTTGAATAACCTTGGCCAATATGAAAGTGGTCCCGTTTCTTGGACTTTAAACAATTATAAAGAATTACGGAATCTAACATTAGGTTACGTATGCACTCGAATCTTTCCAGGGTTTTTCAGAAGTTGGTCGTTGAAATTGATGGTTTGTGAAATAGGATTCCTTTTCCTCGTGCCTCGAAACTCGATTTACGAAATTTACCTGCGTCGTTAGTGTGCGTATGAGGATCCGTGAGTGTACACGTGGTATAATCAGCGAGAGTAGTCCACGTGGTGTCTTGTCATTTGACGTTAAACAACTTGACTGATCCGTCGAACAAAACGCAGATTGTTGTTAGTTGTTAATTGTTAATTTAGTGAAATGTTTGGGTAAGACACAAATTGGAGAGCCTTGAATCAGTTTTTGGTTAGAGATGAAAGGTTTTACAAATTACACAAACCATTCATTATTATACACACAACTATACATAAACACCAAATCTCACCACTTAAAAAGTAGCAGACAGAGAGAGTTAAGAGAGACAAAGGAACTAAATAAAATAGAAGCTTCTAGAAAACAGAAGGCGGTTTTAGACAGTTGTGATACTCGAGCTGAGACATTTCTCCACCGTTCACCGGATCAAACTGGCATCTGTAGAAGCTGTTAAAAACCAACAAAGAAGATAATACCAACTCCGGTCAAATCAAATATGCAATACACACACACATGACCAAATCATAAAGAGTTCAACTTCTTTTTGATTAGAGTTTGTCAATGGAATCAGTTCAAAAGCTTCTTTCTTTTTTTGGCTTACCTCCCATCCATGCCGAGAATAACAACGGTGTTTTTCTGATGACCAAAGGCGACTATGTACTGAGTTCCTTCAACCAACCGGAACTGAGCCACCGACCACTCCGAGCTGAAATACTTTGGCAATACTCCTAATAGAGCAAAACAAGAGTTATGCTTACCGAACCAAGAGGAATGCTAAAGTAACTGAATTCGGGTTTATGTGCATTCTGTACCTTTGAATAATGACAGAGACGAAGACGGGGATGAGGCAGAGCGAGTAACATCAGATGCAATTCGGGGTGTGTCTTTCACTTGAGAGCCGGAGTTGACTTTGAGACCAAAGACATGGACAGTTCCTTTGTCACTTGAGACAGCTAGCCACTGAGCACTTGAAGAGAAGGCCAAACTATATATCTCCGCTCTGTCTGCACCCCTCCTAACCTGTACAGTCGCATCATGTTGGCATTAGTGAACCATAGACTCCAAACTCATACGGCATTACTATAATAACCAAAACTACGTTTGAGATTCCCTAAGAAAATAAAAATCATATGATGAGTAAATCCACCATCCTAATACAGATGATAAGATCAATACTCGGAGCCGATGCAAATGAGCGTAAATTCAGAAACTCCAGTGGACTAGGACTCTGCAGCTTAAGGAATAAGATCAGTAACAACATGATTTGAAATAACAATTGCTCTTGATGATGGATTCATCAACGACCCTATAATGTGTTCAGATCAGACTATTAACTATTTTCATGTGCACCTCAGTAAACAAAAGATGCATCCTTTTCACAGAGTAGAAAAACTATAATTGAAGCTAAATCGAATCGGGCGTAGACAGGTTCAAAACACTCAGCCTCTATCATAAACACCCATCCAAACAACAGCAAGCAAATCAGCTCGAAACAGTCATTGTGGATCATATATATGAAATGAACAACTTCTCTGCATCTCTCAGCTGAACAATAGACATGTACGAAAAGAGAGAATCAATATCCAGTCCTACACTCTAGTTTGCATAATTTAACTCCCTGTGCCAGGATTCTTAACATCGAGCAATAGAAATATAAAGATGAAGGCTTTGGACTGACTAAAAGCGTTGAATGTTACCTCTTGCCGCAAGGTGCCATCAACAGTATTGAACACACGAACAAGAGTGCCCTTGGAGCTGGCCGTGGCCAACAAATGCCCATCCTGCGTGAGAGCGAAGCAAGCAATCCTCGAATCGTGAGCCATGATGAATTTGGTGCGTTTAGAGGCGTAGTGCTCGATCCGAACTTGCCCTTTCTGCAAACCTGGGCACACCAACACCATAGAACCAGCACCCTGAGAGACGGCGCACAAGCCCTTAGGGTTCGCGATGGTCTCAATCTGATGCATCAGCTTGAGGTCCGCGAAGTTGTACACAAAAATCTTCTGCTCCAAAACCACAATAATCCGATCCCTCCTAAGCCGGACCGATCGAACATCGGACCTGAAGGAGAGTTCGCCGATACATCGGCTCTGGTGGTCGTCCCAAATCATGACCTTATTTGGCGGATATTGGGGATCAGGTCCACCACCTACAAGGGCTAGTATATTGCATCTGAACAGCATCTCCACGACGGCAACCCCACCCCCACGATCGAAATCACGCCGGAAAATCTCGCGAAATGGGTCGCAATTAAGGATCCGGAAGCCGCGATCGGTGCCGACAGCGAAGCAAGCGTGGTCCTGGTTAAATGAGAGGTAGAGCAAGGACGGAAGAGGCGTCGCCGGTGAATTTGGCGCAGGGGGAGAAATAGGGGTTTGAATATTAAGGTCCCGGTTGGAATCCGGAATACGATCAGAATTCCGATTAACATCTTCGGAGTTGAGACTCATGGAGGAGAAGGAGTCGAGAGACTCGGTGTCGTCTCCACGATCGTGGTGCGAGGGAAAAGTAGAGTCGGATTCAGAGGCAGACGTAGAATCGGGATTAGGGTTGGGGTTTGGCCAGGGAGAAGAGAGAGAGGAGGAGACGGTGGCCATGGAAGAAGGAATCTGAAGGAATCTTAAGAGAGAAAGAAGAAGATGAAGAAGAAGCGTGAAGAGGGAGGAATAGGGAGATGACTTCGTGCTTTGCTTGTTGCCGTCATATCTTTCAGGCGGCTACTCCCCTTCTTATTAGACAATAATAAAAAAAAAAGGGATAATTTTTTTTTGTTTTCCATATTGGGGATAAAATCAAATATTACGGAAAATTATAACTGCATCTTTTTACTTTGCTTCAATTTTACAGTTCAGAAACTTTCTTTATTTGTGAATAATAAGAAGTTTTAAATTTAAATTCTTTGTTTGACATCAACTCCTGCTTTTAAAAATATATAGACTCTAGCTAACAATACTATATATTGTTGTTACAAAAATGTTAAGATTGGAACATGTTAAGATTTGTATACACTTGAGAATAAAGTAAAAACAAAGTTTAGATGTTTTATTTGCGTCAAAATTCTTTATTTAGAATGTTTTATTATATTTGTTACCAGGATAATCATTACTTGTTACATAAATCTCGCAATCCATGGTGATTCTGTTATAATAATATACAGTACATGAACAACCATTTATAAATTCTGTTAAACGAAAAACAAACGCAACAATTTATTGTCATTAACCAACATAAAAGGGAAAGTGAATACAAAACAAATAAAATAACAAGTTGGAGGATTTGATCAAATCAAAAGTTAGCTCCGAGACGTTGACCGTTAGTTAAAATCTGTAAGGACTCATCGGTGGATATAGTACCGGTGGAGTCTGCGGCGGAGCTACCGTAGGATAGCCTTCGGGCGGACATGGATATAGTACCGGTGGAGTCTGCGGCGGAGCTATCGTAGGATAGCCTTCGGGCGGACATGAGAAGCCAGGGAATGTAGGTGGATACATCGTCGGTAAAATTTCAGGTATCTGGCTCACTGGATAGCCACGAGGCGGGTACAAACCGGGGAAGCATACCGGCGGCAGAATCTCCGGCTGAGATATTGGTGGATGAATCGGTGGCTGAGAAGAAACGTGGTTGTAACTAAACGATCCGACGCTTGGAAGCAGCTGACTCAACACGGGTCCGTTCAAAACAGGTCGGTTCAAAACACTAACAGGCCGGTACGTCGCCGCGGGAGGACGCACCGGCTGGTGAGCTAGGTACCGTGAGCAGCCGTCACCGGTCGTAGCCACCACTGGAGCGGCGAAGGAATAAGTGAAACTGATATCGCCTCTTGGTTTTCCGTTGGGCTTCGTGATTTTATACGTGACGTATCTTTGACCGGCCTTGTCGTTTCCGAGATGATCCAGAAGCTCTTTCACCGGAACGTGAACCTCGCCGATGTCTTTATCTCCTCCTCCACGTAGCTCGCACTTGATCTTGAACGTGATCACGAGCCGGTTAGCCTGAGCTAAGGGTTGGTCGATGGTGAATTTCATGACGTCATTGATCCATTTGGGGCTTGTTCCACCGTCTCCTGCCACTTGTGTCCGCTGCTCACGGTGGTCGGAGAATTTGGGATCGCCGGATAACTTCACGGTCACGAAAACATCCATCTTCGAGACTTTCTCAAGCCCTTTTGCGGACGTCACCGTTATTTCTAGAGATGTCGTCTCCATTTTGAAATTGCCAAAGATAAAAATGCAAAAGCTCCTACTTCTCTACGCACATTACATATAGAAGTTGCAGAGACGACTAAGAGAGAGTCAAATGACAACTATTTATACAGGACATGTTTTATTATTCCATCCACCATTCCGTTTTTAATCTAATTGAATTTTAAATATACCTGTAAGAGAATGAATTATTACCATGAGAGAAGGAGTCTGTGTTTGATAAACAGCCAAAGGCAAGTTACAACTCAGTCAAAGGAAATAGACAAGGAAAAGGGAAAAAAAAACAGAGCTTTCATAACAAAAGCATAGTGAAAACGATCAAATGAAGTTTGGAACAACATACAGAATCATCAAGAAGCTTTTTATTCTTCTTCTCGGCTGCGAAAGATGCAAACTCCAAGGATGATTAGTGTCGTCGTTTTAATGATGACTATGAGTGCCATCCCCGGTTTCTTCGCCTTTCCTTGAAGCCGCTCTTAGTTTACGCTGCTCCTCTTTGTAAATCCTGTTTCTTCGTTGGAACTAGAACAATCATACAAATTACCCCTCCCTTGTCAGTGTACAAGCTTGCATTAAGCATAGAAACAACAAAGAATCTACTACAGTATATTAAAGAATATATAACAGAATCATTTCTCAAATGTTTTTTTTCCGTGAGCCTATATGCCTTGAGTTTTCATTGCTTGGAGGGCCATACAACAATACATGAAGAACATGTATTTCAATTTTCCAGATTTTGAAGAAACAAACGGAGAGGGATCACAAAACAAGAGACAATAGGTAGGATGAAAGTGGAACCATCCTAACTTAACTATTGGAGTTATATAAAAAACCATGAAACTAAATCTCAGACCGGGGAAGCTTAATATAAAAAAATCTAATCTTTACGAGTGAATAATATGAACACAGCCACAGGTACACGAGTTTCGCAATTCATGAAACCATGAAAATTTCCAAAAACCAAAAAAAAAAGCTTATGTTTTCATACAGATGCACCTAAGCAGACAAAAACGGCAAAAGACAAAGACTAGTTTCGAAATCGTTTCAACTGATCTAAGAATTTGGTGATCCAGAAACCATCATCAGACTGATTGATCTAAGAGTTTGTACAGACGGATGGAAATCAAGGCGAGTCATCGAATCAGTGAGGTGGATCAAAGCAATCGAGGGTCGAATTGATGAATCCAGCACACGAACGAATTGGGAGAAAAAGGCGTACCTCTTTGGAATGGTGAAGACACTCGAGGTAGTCTTCACGAAGAAGAGAACAATCCTTTGGCTCTCTGCAATGAGACATACATTCGCTGAAATCCATCCAGAAATCGTAACATCTCCCTTTGTTTCCCGTTATCCCCCACCCCGACGCCATTTTCTCCCAAATCCCAAAATTGATTCCGATGCTGAAACTGCTACAGAGAGAGAGAGACTTCTTCGCCTGATTTCGGAGAGATCCGACCCGATGTTTTGGGTTTTATCTAATTTAAACCCCGAATTATCCTTTAAAGGGCCTTAATCTGTTGGGCTTTATCGTTACTACTCGATAGGCCCATTTAATCTGCAAACTTTCTTCTGTGATCATCATCAGTAGTGACGGTCTGATCAAGGGGATGATATACTCAGAACTAAAATTAGTTATGTATTGTTGTACTCGTATCTCTCAAACAGAATAGATATTAGCAGCGCGAACAAAAAAAAAAAAGGTTAATTACTTCTTAGATAAGTGATAATTAATCTAATATTCGTTTGTTTTACACTTACAGAGTCTTGAGACTTGAGCTACTCTAAATTCAGACAGACAGACAGACCAAACTAGCTTGACCTCAAAAGTCAGAGCTCACAGATTATACAAGAGTAGTAGGAGAGACGAGCTGTTTAGGGCTTCACGAGACGATAAGCAATGAATCTATCATCCCTAAAGAGCATCTCCGCGTCTTGAGGAAGAGTCATCTCGGGGTTCCATGGACGACACACTACATGTTGCCCACTTGGTATACTCTGGTGGCCACTTCCCATTATGAGCTGCTTCTCACCATCTTCTACACATGATGATGATGATGATGATGATGATGTTCCTTTACCATCGTTTACCGGATTCTGAGGCATAGCCGAATAAGCAGTCATCTCCACATCTTTAGTAGCTGGTGCAGTCAGAGAAGCATCGTTCGTAGGATGAGTAGCCACAGGCAAAGCAGTACTGTTTACCTCCTTAACACTATTGGCTGGTGCATCAAGAGCTTCTGCAGAAAATGAAGACCGTAGATCATTTTGACCATTTAGCCGAAAACTCATACACTGGAACATGATCCGTCTGAATGTAGTATAGGTTTCAAAGAACACTAACCATCTTGGTAAACCTCAATCCACTTTGATGGGACATCAGGGGTCACCATCTTGGAAGGTTGTGAAGGGGTCGCTTGTACACTCTTTGAATTTGCAGCTTCTTGTCTCTCACAAGGCGAAGAAGGTGACGAGGTCTGGTTCGGCTGCCCTGCACAGCATCATATAATATCTGATTCACTACAACCTGTCTCGTTTGGCTTTTAATCCTTCAAAATATGGATCGACCAAAGAGGGTCACATCACATGGTGAAGAAAAGCAAAAAATGAAAAATAGTTGCTTCATGAATGTATTAGTTCTGAAAACTGTTAAAACCATCACCTGAGATGGCCATGTTGAAGAATATAGTGAGGTGAATACACAAAATAGGTAAAAGATAGATACAAACCATGTTTGAGACTCATGAATGCCACTTTTGCGGCACTCATTTCGGCCAGCTTTTTGGTTTTTGCTTCTTCTCCTCTGAAAACCTTCCCACCAAACTCAACAGTAGAGGTGAAAACAGGCGAATGCGATGGACCAGAAGTAGCAGTTGCATAAACAGGTAGAAGAGAATTGTCTTTCTGAGCAATTTCTTGTAACAGGTTCTTGTATGCAACATCAACTCCCTGGATAACCAAAAAAATAAGGAAAGATTATATGCCGAAAAACATGGGAAAGCACATTAATTGTTGGTCCAAAACGAGAGGGAACTAGCCTCTGGATTCAATGGCGTCAAAGAAGCCAATGCTAATTTTGCAGCTGCATGTTCAGCCGCTTTTAACGTTGGAAAGAACTCCTCGCCTTGGAAAGTCTGTCCACAAACTGTCACTTTACAACGGAAAAGAGGAGCATGAGCAGGCCCTTGTCTCTCCGCTGCGTAAGACGGTAGTTCCATATTCTGTTTCAGCGCATATGATTGTAGCTGGCTCTTGTATACATGGTCCATCTCTATCTAAGCTGCAAATATAAAAACACACACTTTCAGATTAATTTTACCAATAAAGCTAAAGGGGAAGCCTCAACTTCCAAAACTTAACAGCTGAGTAATTCAGATAAGACCACGGATCTAAATTTAGACAAGGGAAGCAATTATAGAAACCCAATCTCTGCGAATACTATGAAAATATCCGACATTTTTACTTTTGAATCGTAAATTTCATTGAATTTCATCAAACAATGAAACGTTCGAGTTTCCAGCAAAGCAAGCTTATGTAACTTTTATACAAGTACAGCCTAATTTGGCAAAGGAAGAGACAAGTTTCAGAATTGCTTGAAATAATATAGGAGTTAAGAAGTTATTACAACTAGTAATCTAGAAACCATCATCAGGCTGGATTGATCTAGGGTTTCGGATAGAGAGAATAACAGGGCGAATCATCGGAGCAGTGAAACTCATAAAGCAATCAAGGCGTGAATTGATCGATTACAATTAGAAAAACACACGGGAAAATTGAAAGAGAACAAAAAAAAAAGAAGAAGAAACGAATGCGTACCTCTTTGCGATGAGGAAGACAGACTGAAGAAAGAGACATGCCTTCACTGAAACCAACCCAGTCCAGAAACTAATAAACTCTTCTTCACCTGAGTACGAAGAAGGATCCGTACGATTCGGGTTCTGGGCCGGGTGTAAAGATGATGATCCGAAATATCCATTAATGGGCCATCAAGTGGGCTTAAACATGAACGTTCGATGGGCCCAATGAATCTCGGAATTCGAATCCGATCCGAAGGTTCTCGGAAACCATTTCTATTCTCAGTTTTGGTTAAGGAGGCGACGGCGGAGGGAAGAGGTAACGGTGCACGACCCAAAGGGTTTGAAAGGGAAGAGGAGAAATGGTGACCGGAGAAGCTTTGATCGCATATAGAGCTCTGCTCAGGGCTACCAGGAAGTCATTCGCCGGAGATCGCGAGATGCTTAAGGCTTCGGCCTTCGAGATCCGTAAGAAATTCGAAGAGAACCGCCACGTGGTTTCCGATTCCGACATCCCTCGCCTTCTCGAAGAAGCGCGTGAGGCGGCTCAATTCATTTCCACCATGATCGTTCAGGCCAAACTCAACGAACGCGGCGGATACGGTACTTTTTACGCCGTTTTGACTCATTAAGCTTTTTTGTCTTTCTTTCTTCCTGATTTCTGTCTTTCCACCATGATCTGTTTGTTTAAATGCGTTTAGTGAATTGAAACATTCTTTCTTTTTTTTTGGGGTGGGAAATTGATGTGTTGCAGAGGTGAAGGCAAGTCAGGAACACGCGGGAGCGACATTGGAGCTTCCTACAGAGGAGATGCTTCGGAAAAAAACTGTATGAGTGACACAAGTCTTAGTGACTGACTACATTGAGACTTGTCCGAATTTCGATTACTTCTCCCTTACTCGTTCTGTTTTTTCGGGAAAGGTGGAACCTTTTTGTTTTGTTTTGTGATTCTGTGTTTGTTCTCTCTTCACAGCTAAACCAACACAGATTTAATAAGGATTCATGTCTCAAATTAGTTAAGCTATAAGCTCTCACTTTTCTTGCTTCGATAATCTTAGAAGCCTTGTCTTGCCTTAGAGACCCACTTCTTGTATCGTTGTAAAATCCATGTAACTGTTTAGTGCTGGTTTGGAATTGAATCATTTCCTTCATCAACTTAGTGTTCATCTCTCTAGTATGCGCGCTTGTGCCGTTTCACAGTCTCTGATAGGAAGTTTTGAGAGTTGATGCGAGAAAAGTGAAGCCATGATTGTCACTCTAGCTCACAAATCATTGGTATAGATGAACTCTTTTTAGATATGGGGTCCCATAAGTATGGTTCAATTTCCAAACCACCACACAATCCTCCTCTCTTTCCTTGTCCCCTCTCATGAGTGTCCATGGTTATGCTCAGAACTCCTTTATGTTCTTCAAGTTTTAAGTTCGGAGGACTTGCTTTCTCTAATTGCTGTCTCGTGTCTCGTTCATTATCTTTTGTTTCATAGCAATCATGTGAATCGTCATAACAACCATATATATACTTCCTTCTCTCAATGCATGTGAAATTAATTCATTTTTTCAAAAAAACTGTATTCATAAATAATACTCACGCATTGCCTGATTGTGTATATAAGAAACTCACGCACGTCCGAAAGAAAGTAGCCATGTCGTGAAAGAAAATAAAGAGAAAATTTATAGAAAGGATTCACAGAAGATATGGTCATGTGCCTCATGGCGATACCAAAACCACAAAATGTATCTTTTTCTTTTCTTTACGATGTTAAATATCATTCCCGTACCAACTAGCTGATCCTCCATTTATAAACAAATTACATTTTCATACTCAACTAATTGATTACATTTTTACATTTTTATAAACGAGTACAATATTTAAGCTATACAGTGAGCTCCTGTAAGTTCTAAGTCCGCATGGTGAAAGTAGGATACAGATCGCCGAGAAACCAAAAAATAAAGACTAAGAAATGGATCAATGATTGAAACAAAACAAATTAATCAAAATAGATCGATCTCTAGTTTTAGTAGTTTGGACTAGTTGTTGAAACTGGTAAAAACTAGTAAAGATTATTCAAAATAGAAAACAAATTATGGGAAGAGTTAACTAAACCCACGAATTGCTATCGCCTAAACAACAAATATCAAACATCGAACATACCCTTCAAAACGCTCTGTGATCATTATTAACTCCGACACCTACATATGGACCGCCATGCGGTTTTTGACTTTCAATTTATAACCTAACAACAAAAAATAAAAACCTAATTTAAATTTATACGTGTCTTAGTCTATATATACAATCTCTCACTCAGTACTCTCTTTCTCGTCTACACACATTTGATATAAAGATTACAATTTTCTCTCACAACCCATTAGAAAACCCATGACTTCTTCTACCACATTTGCACTTCTCTTCTTTCTCCTTTCACTCAATCCAACTTCGTCATCACCTTCTAAACGCAACAGTTACGTTCACAACGCATGTAGCGTTACACGCTACCAAGACCTCTGCGTTCAAACGCTATCGCCTTTTTCATCAGTCGCCAAGAACAGTCCCAGCAAATGGGCGCGTGCCGGCGTATCCGTGGCCATATCGGACAACAAAGACGTCCTTAGATACCTTCTCAAAACGCGGCGTTCAGCGTTTGGGAAACGGGATCGCGTCGCTTTGTCAGATTGCCGAGAGCTGCTCCAAGACTCTCTTGATAATCTCCACAAGTCCTTAGCCGTGCTCCGGAGACTAAGAGCCAGTGACTTTCAGCAGCAGATGAGTGATCTTGGCACGTGGCTTAGCACTGCCCTCACGGATAAGGACACGTGTCTTGATGGGTTTGAAATGGCGTGGACGAAGTCACCAGCGGTCAGGATGATCCGTGATAGAGTCACGACGTCTATGTATTTGTCCAGCAATTCCCTCGCACTTCTCAACAAATTAGCGGCTAATGGTTTGTAATCTCTCATAAATAACGAAATTTATAAAACAATATTAACTTCCATGTATACGTAAGATCATTATTAATTAAAATAATTTGCTTTTTGGCTGAATACATACGAATATACGATCATTATTGAAACATATAAACATAAGAGTATAGACCACCTCTCCATTTCGGGACTTTGACATGTTTGTGGCAATTTCATTGATTTCGATAGGTATGGTCGTATGGAGATTATTATGCGGACAAAAAAAAAAGGAGATTATAATTATAAAACTATATATTTACGCGTCCGATATATCCAGTATTGGGCTTTATCTAAATTAATAATAATATATATAATGAGTTTAGCTAACATAAAATTGCCAAACCCAATCAGTTACCAGAATTTCTAGTCATGTATCTTTTCTTTCTAGGGGCCAATATATTGCAGGCCTAATACCATATTGGGCCAATATTATTAGTCTAGTATTTATCTGGCTCAAGCCACCTAAAGATTATTTCTACCATTCTAAATCGTTTTTGTTATTTTCGTAAAACCGTTTCGATTCTTTCGAAATGGTAAGTTACGATGCCGCCAAGAACCTCTGAGCAAGTGGCATAAAAGCCACCTCGTCTGGTCTTCTTGGCACAATGAGTCCGAGACCAGTGGACTCTCTAACAAAGTATCTACAAACAAAAACGTCACTCAGTGCTTAATTCTCAAAAACTGAATTAAATGTTTTGGCTTGCTTTTAAAGTCCACCACCTAACTATATATTTAGAATTTAACTCATACCATATCTAATTTAAACATTTGATATATGATGAATTCCTACTTCTATGAATCGTCTAAACCGAACCAGTTTACAGAATCTTGCTGTTAGCAAGTCTTATTCAATTCCATTGGTCACAAAATATTCAATTGTTATTTTAAAACAAACAAAGAAACTCGTTTGAGAAAAGCAATCATGCTAGCCATCGCGAATCTTAAAAAAAAAAAAAATGCAAGAAAGTGATGGAGATGTGGGGTGAGATTATAAACCGCCAAGTTAGAATCATAAGTCAACGTAAACACCAACGCCCTCCTTTTTTTTCTTCTTTAATTGTATTATTCACCTCCGGATCCAAAGTTTAATGTGGGTTCTTAGTTCAATGATTAGTGATCAAAGTTTAAAATATTTTACACCGCAGTATGAGATGTAAATCCATATACAATCATCTTAGTTATAGTTCAGGTTCTCACAAATCTTTGTAGTTATGGTTCGTGTGTGCTATATGGCATATTTAAACAGTTATACATGTTTTCGTTTTTAAATGATATATTAGTCTATAGTCTTTAACTATATAATATTAAGCTATGTGACCAAGTGAATGATTCTGACATAAATTAAATTTAGCCTCAACTAAAACATATTGTACTACAATCGTTTAATTCTGTATGTATCTTCTATTGTCATTTCCTCCAAACATAAGATATACTAATCGTTTGTTCATGTATATCATAAAGACAATAGAAGTGTTGTTAATTTCATGTATTGTTAATTTATATTGTCATTTCATGTGTTGTTAATTTGACCCACGTCGGGTCTACGAATCCAATAAAAATTACAGAAATGATGTAATTGTTTTATTAATTCAATATGCACTATTCCTACATCTAATCACCAACAACTACCAATCGTCTAATCAAATATTTGATATTGTTCTGTGAACCTATTCAACATTGCAATATTTTTTTTCACTTTTATAATAAAAACAGCCAAGGAAATCTCTCAAAGTAGACAGTTTTCATTGACTTGTTATTCAAATAAATGCATTAAATTCATAAATTTACCAGCTAGATAGAAAATATGTGCTTTTAAGAATATATATTAGCATATTGGTAGTTTAGATTCTTTAGAACTTCATACAATCGTTCTTTCAATACCATAAAAAAATTCTTCTAAACAACATTAATAAATCTTAATTATGGCAAGGAGACATATATATATAGAGAGAGGGAGATCTACCTTTAGTCTTTAATTGCTTTGTAGATTTTATTTATATGAATGGGTTTACAAACAATATGACCAAATAAAACAATAACAAGTCACATTTAAAACTCGTAGACATTTTTTTTTGTACAATATATTACGTTTCCCAAACCATAACGGTCAAAAACGTTATGAATGTGATTATGTAAAAACTGTTATAGTTTGTTAGAACTTGGGACATGCTTCTGTTTGAAATAATCTTATGTTTTCTTACTAATTTTTTATTTGGGGGGGCAAATTACCGAATTATAAATATAATGATAGACGTTGCCTGTAAATCATTGAAAGGACAACAAAGTAGAAAAAGAAAACGAACGTCGAAATCACTCAAAGCTCCCACCAATTTGCCTTTGAGTGCTAAGTTAGGGTTTGGCATTGACTTTGTTTACGTGACATTAACATACCTAACGAACCAATCACATCATTAATTACAATTTGAGTTTTAGAAATATGAATAAATCATACTATTATATGTTTTTCCTTGTTGTTGCAAATAATGGACCAAGTAACAGTATTAAAAAGACCGATTTTAAAGGAAAGTCCAATAAATTGCCATTGTGATTCGTTTACCAATCGAAAGGGTATTATCGTAATAAGAGTGAATAATTAGCCTTGACATGTAAACGCATTGGCTACTTAAATACACCAAAACCCGAGTCGCTTTTCACTCTCGTTCAAGGTCGACTCAGTTCCCGGCGAGTTCGACTCGGAGATATTTTTTCCTAGAAAACTAAAAGAGCCCTGAAAATTTTCTTATTGACTGATTTCTCTCCCTCTCCCTTCCTTGATTCTAGATCTAGAAATCACCTGGCTGTTTAATCGAGGTAGGAGACAACGAGAAGGAAGCGAGATGGCGAGCGAGCTGATCAACCGGCGACACGAGGCGGACCAACCCGCCGCCGATGCTTACTACCCGAAACCTATCAAACCGTGGTTCTTCGTGACTCGGCCGATGCGTTACATGCTCCGAGAACAGAGGCTTCTCTTTGTTCTCGTCGGCATTGCAATCGCCACATTGGTTTTCACAGTTTTCCCTCGCTCCACCCAATCAATCGCCTACTCGGATCCGTTTTCCGGTTACGGAATCAGGCCCGACGAATCGTACCTCCCGGCGGTCCAGGCCCAGAGGAAGCCTAGCGTCGAGTACCTGAGCCGGATCGGAGCGACAGGCGGGAAAATCCCACTCGGATTGAAACGCAAAGGGCTACGAGTCGTGGTGACTGGTGGTGCCGGATTCGTCGGATCGCATCTGGTGGATCGTCTGATGGAAAGAGGAGACACCGTGATCGTCGTCGACAATTTCTTCACGGGTCGCAAGGAGAACGTGATGCACCATTTCAGTAACCCTAATTTCGAGCTCATCCGTCACGATGTCGTCGAGCCGATCCTTCTCGAGGTGGACCAGATCTATCACTTGGCATGCCCTGCCTCCCCTGTCCACTACAAATTCAACCCCGTCAAGACTATCATATCCTTTTCAATTTTTGTAACCTCTGTGCTCATATCTGGTTTTCAATTTTTGGGATGGAATTGTCCTTTTGTTTGCTGTTCCTTAACTCGAATGAAGGTTATACAAGACGAATGTGGTTGGAACGTTGAACATGCTTGGTTTGGCGAAGCGAGTCGGTGCCAGGTTTCTGCTGACGAGCACCAGTGAGGTTTACGGTGATCCTCTGCAGCATCCTCAGGTCGAGACTTACTGGGGCAACGTTAATCCCATCGGTAAAATCCCCCCATTTCACTTTCTTAGGGAGAATTTAGTTTTTCGATTTAAGGCCTTCTGCTTTCTTCTTCATTGGCTGTGCCCTCCAATCGGAATCTGAAAACCCATTTCACCGTAAGGTGACACGACGACGTTTCGAGCTGCTCTGTCTTTTGTGGTTTTGAAGTTTCTTTCTTTCTCCGTGTCGGAAAATGCGCACGTTAGGGGGGAGAGAGAGAGTTGAAGAACAGGTGTTTTATGATGCGCCCCATGTGCTTTCTTTCAGATCTGGTCCCCATGCCTGTATGGTCAAACCAATGAACCGTGAAAAACGGGTCTTTCTGATCGTGCGGCTCTGATACGTGTCTCTCTATCTTAGACGCAGCCTCCCACATTAACTGCTAGCCTAACATTCAAAAACCTACTTCTACTACTTTCAAATTCTACAGCTTTAATGTATAGGGTTTGCTTTTACAGTTACTGACCCAGTAACTTTCAAATTCACGTGACTGTTCAGATGGGTTTGCTTTACTGTCTGGGCTCTTTGAAAAGGCTGGCTGATTGTGGTTGTAATGGTTTGGAACAGGTGTTCGTAGTTGCTACGACGAAGGAAAGCGTACGGCCGAGACGCTGACAATGGACTATCACAGAGGTGCCAATGTTGAGGTTCGCTACTTTTTCATTTCCCCTCCATTTCAAGCCAAGTTATCTCTATGACTAGTAATCTCTTGATGAGCATTTTTCAATTACTGAGTTTGTGCCTGCCTTGTTGATTGGTCACAGGTCAGGATTGCTAGGATCTTTAACACCTACGGTCCAAGAATGTGTATAGACGATGGGCGTGTGGTCAGCAATTTCGTTGCGCAGGTTGGTTAACAATCTAGTTGGCACAATCAGTAAACTATTAAAGAATGATTTAGTGGGTAATTAGAGTAATGATGGTTTCAAATTTGTAATAATTGAACAGGCACTAAGGAAAGAACCATTGACTGTTTATGGTGATGGGAAGCAGACAAGGAGTTTCCAGTTTGTTTCTGATCTGGTAAGGCCTTTGCTTTTTCCTCCTCAAATAACGATTCAATTGGGCACTAAAAATAGCCGGCTCTATATCTTCTCTTCTGTTTTTTCTTTGATCCAACTCAAGATTTATTCTTGCTTTCGTGTGTGAAAAGGAAAAACAAAAAACAAATTTGGTAGGTTGTTTTATGTCAAACCACTTGTCAATTCTTTGCTTTTGAAGAATTAGACCTTTATGTTCCTTTTCTATTTAGTAGACACTACTTTCTAGGGTGAGCAAAGAAAAGGGGATTTTTTTTTATAATTTCATAAGTTTGGCGTAGAAAGAGTTCTTTAGGGAGAGAGAGAGAAAAGAAAACAGGGGAAGTTAATTTGTGTCAAGTGAGCTCACATGTTATGGTGTAAGAGACTAGTGAATGTGTTGTGGGATCTAACAACAAAGGCTTTAAAACATGAGACCCAAATCTATTATAGACATCAGAAACAGGTCCCCACTTTAGCAATCTTATGAAAATGGGTATCAAATAGCATGTGAAAAAGGACCAAATGGGGTCTGAACTTTATTGCACCTTTGTCCTGGTTAATTTCTTTTACCTGTTTTTAATTTGTAGTAATGAGTCTGATTTTGTGTTTGTGTGATGCATAAAGGTCGAAGGTTTGATGAGATTGATGGAAGGAGAACATGTCGGGCCATTTAACCTTGGTAACCCTGGTGAATTCACCATGCTCGAGCTCGCTAAGGTCTCTTTCTATATATACACGAACCTTTTTCGATCTCTAAGATTGAACCGCGGATTCTGATGTCTTTAATATGGTTGGGTTTTGTTGCAGGTGGTTCAAGAGACGATTGATCCAAACGCAAACATAGAGTTTAGACCAAACACAGAAGATGACCCTCACAAGAGAAAGCCTGACATCACAAAGGCCAAGGAGCTTCTCGGTTGGGAACCAAAGGTGTCTCTTCGTCAGGGACTCCCTCTCATGGTCAAAGACTTCCGTCAACGTGTATTTGGTGACCAGAAGGAAGGCTCCTCCATGGCTGCAGCCACCACCAAAACAACCTCAGCTTGAGCAAACGCAGATGCAAAGTAGCAGCCATTCCGGGTTGGTTAAATGGTTCATAACGAAAAAATACAAAGGCATTGCTTGCAGCTACAATGTGGAGAGACCAGAGCTTTTTCGTTTCTAAAAATTTATTTTGTTTTTGATTTTTATTTTGGTATTATATTTTGGTGTAAACGTAGAGTAAGAGTTTGGTGCCTTTACTATATTCATGGACCTCACGACAGTTAAAAAAAAAGCTTTTTTGTCTTTTGCAAGTGCAAAGTTTAGTGGCTTTACTTAACGCTACTTTTTAATCGTAAGACACATCTCAAGTGAAAGGTACAGAAGCACTGTCGGCAGCCAAAGCCTCATAATCATCATCGCGAGTTATCATCCATACTTCCTCCAGTAATGTAACTTTGTCTAATTTAACTTTTGCAATTACAATCACTCAACTGGGGTTTATGAAGAAATAGAATACGGAGAGATAAACCAAAAAGGCTTGACACAGTCAATTGTATATTTGGCAAGAAGACGAGCGAAAGCAACTCATCGCCGGAAACCTTTGCCACTAGTAATGTAAACTTTGTAAAGAAAAACAAAACTTTAGTCTTTCGCAATTACAAAGTTTAGAGTTTAGTGGGCATTTACTCAACGCTGCGTTCAGTCATAGGATCGAACCAAAAGTGCAAAATAACACTAGATTTAAGACTCATAATCAAAGACGTTTCTCCGTTGATGCAACAATTAGGATTTGATTTCAAGACGAGAACAACAACTAGGAGCAGACATCTCAACCTCTCTTTCTCACTTGGGGTTCCTGAGGACGATAATGACAGAGTCTCCGCGGAGAAACATCTTGCTGATGAACCTATCTCTGTTGACCGGAAGAGCCTTCTTCTTTCCTTTTCCAGTTTTAGGGACCTACAAAAAACAACCCATACAGCTCACGAAAGTAAGAATTTGGCAACTCTCTACAAACAAATAAAGAAAGAAGAGAGACAAAGAAAAGGCAAGGCTTTACCTCAGTCCACATCTCTCTGACGTTTTCGAGAACCATGTTGCAGTGCCTGTCAAAAGCCCTCACTCGCCCAAGGAGTTTCCTGTTGTTGCGGCAATTGATCAACACCTGTGTGTTGTTCTTCACGCTCAGCATCAGCACTGAGAGCGGCCCCGTGTTGAACTCCTCCTCTTCCGTCTTTCCCTGCAAATCAAGTAGTTGTAAACCATCATCAACCACTATTTGACCAACACTATAAGACTTTTAAATCAAGAATGCAGTCAATACATAAGGTTTAACAAGCAACATGAACACCAAGTGGACAGTTCCCAAAACAGTAAATTGTTCACTAGCATAATCACAAATAAAGATACAATCCATACGATTTCTAAAGGATTCATCACCAAACTCCGAAATGAGACTCCGCAAGATCCTAGATAGATGTTCAAGCTACGTAGACAATTAATAGCAGCTAAGTGAGTAGTAGCTCAAGTGCTAAAAAAATCAAGGCAATAGCGAATTAGGGTTTTACGCGTATGTAAGATAAAGAGCTAGATCGAGAAATCATCAGAATCGAGAGAGAAAAGAGAGATTTACTTACGTTGTTAGCATCCTCTTCCATTGGCCTACTGCAACACGAAACAAAGACGAGTGTCAGGGGAAAATCGAAGAAAAAGAAATATAAATTAGCTAGAGAAACCTTAGAGGAATACAATACCTCATGTTTATTTGAAGCGAAACTCCGCTCGACGAAAAGCTCAGAAAATTAGGGCGGAACCTGCAAAGTATTACAGTGGGAAAACGAGGAATTAAGATACGACTCACAGATTTTCCATAGAAAAGCAGATCGAAGAAATTAGGGTTTTACCAGCTAAATCCCGCTTTCGGTTTTCCAAATCTCTCACAGGAAGAAGAATGAGGAGAGTACCATGGCGGTCAAAGGATGGCTGTATTAAGTAAGGACCACCTCGTTATTGGGCCTTAAGAGTATAACACTAATGGGACTTAAGCCCATAAATTAGTTGTAACTAGACGAGCCCATTAACTATTCGCGAGAGTAACCTGGATAAAGAATGTATTCACACGCGAACTATTGGCGAGTAAGATTGACGCGCCCAATTTCCCTGTGTTTGATGTGGTTGTTAAAACTAACCTTCTAAAATTTCATTTTCCAAATTCCAAGTAATAATAAAATAAGTTGATCATCTTGAAGAAAGATCAATACAATTACAACATTTTATTCTTTTTTGTTCTGTGTTCCTACTTTTATTACACTGTCCTTCACGATTCACGAAGACCATACATTTTCATGTCAATGAAAGCTGAAGACCTTAAAAAAAGATAGAAAAATACAAGATAAAGATGGTAAAACAGATTCTTCTCTGTTTACTTTTTTACATAGAAGATCTATGGACCAAACGGCGTCCACCACCGTTTAACCCACAAAGGAGACTAGCATGTTGCCGCTTAGGTTTCCCTTGACCGTTACTGACGCCGTCAACGACCTCTTGAACGTTGGCGGTGAAGTTCCGTACCGGAGTGACGGTGAGAGCAGCGGAGTCGCGGGTACGTATGTCAAGCCAAGCGATGATGTCAGCAAAAACGAGGTCAACGTTAGCGTCAGGCTCACCAGAAGTCAGCCCATGCCACATGCCTGGATAAAGCTTAATGGTTTTGTCCTGTGTGCTTGCTTTCTCGAACAGAGCTTTGCTGATCTCTGGATCGGTCACAGTGTCTGCTTCACCGTGGAGGACAAAGAAGGGTAATGTGATCTCGTGGAGAGTGTCTTCGAGGTTCATGCTCGTTCTAAGCATTTCGAGCGCGGTCTTGAGTCTTGGCTTGTCTTGATATATCAGCTTGTTATTCCTTATCTACAGTTTTAGGAACCAAAGTTTTTAGGACATTAATTATGTTTGTTTCTTCTAATTAGTGATTTAATCGGATTTGGTACCTGTTCGCGCTTGACCGGATCTTTGAAAGCTGCGTCGATAACATCTTTTGTGGGAACAATCTTCCATTTTGGAATAATCTCTTCCACTCTGGTTAGAAGGTTTATGACTACCGGATGTGGTTTAACCTTCTCTGAAATCTGTTCTTACACAAACAATGACATATTATTGGTGTCTTTTCTTAATTATGAAAGTAAATAATGATTAACGTTGTGAAACGCAAAGAAGAAAAACGTGACCTTACACATAGGAGCGACGAGAATGGCACCGTTCCAGAAAGAAGGATCTTTCTTGTGAAGCAACAAAGCAACAGCACCTCCCATTGATTCTCCATACAAGAATCTGCCTTTCTCTCGGTACATTCCCTGCGCTGAAAATCAGATGCTAATTAGTAGTAATTAGTATAAGAAAAGATGAAAGAATATAGATTAGTATTGTCCTCAGTGTGCATGGTACCAGAGATGGAGGTGTAGTAGTCGTAGCAGTCGTTTACTAAGTTACTGAACTTTTTGATGTAGCAACGAGCTCCCTTGGACCGACCATGCCCTTCGTAGTCCATCCCAAACACTGCATATCCTGCTGATGCCAGCCTTATCCCGCATTCTAATATTCAAAACATTAAAAAAAACTATTATTATCAGACTTGTGATCTATATAAAAAATGGTGATTACTGGACTAATGTGTTTCTATCTCAAAGAGTAGATGGCGACAAATGACCTGCTCACACCTGAGTTTGGTAGAGCGGAGCAATTATTATAATTTTGAAGATTTCGTTTAGCAGAGAATCATTAATATTCGAAAAGCATAATTAGTTGTGCATAGGAAAAGAGAAACATAATTAAATATGTATATCCGTGGGGACTCTCTATGTTAGTATTTCTCTAGAGATTTCTTGTCAACAACTTATTACTTTTATAGTTAGGTACACGATCACGTTGATAATTATTCAAGATACAGTAACTAGAGATTTAATCACCTCCATAATCTGTTACTAGTAGAAATACTCAAGATTTAATCACCATTTTCCGGACACTTTGCCATGGGTATATATTATAAAACTTGGTCAAACGAATATTTTGAAGATAAGGATAGTGTTAACGTTTCCCCAAAATTAAGGGGGAAAAATAAAAAATGAAGATGGTCAGGGGAACACGTGGAGAATGTACATCAGATGACTAACAATAAGCTACGAAGCAGACAAAAGTGAAGTATTCAGCTATGGGCATGTATGTACCTCTACAACTAACAACAACTTTTGTTATTAATTTCTTTTAGTCTTCTTCCTTGTTTGCTCTTTTAAAAAAATGTCTTTTAAATCATTTGATTGTAAATCATCCATATTCGATACGATAAACACAATACGTATGTTTGTGAATCGTTATCATGATTCTAATTCTAATAGAGCACTAAACATTAATGTTTTTTTTGGGGGAGTTGGGTTTAAATGGGGTTTATTATATTAGTATGTATGTGGATTGAGTGAGACAGAGGAGAGGAGCATTAAAAAGAGAGAATGGACAATTAAATACCTCTCATGAAGCCACTGCACTCCATTCCATACCCTGCACATTGACCCATTCTATCACGATTTATTATATGAATCACTTGAAAAGAAAAACAACTTAGTAGAGAAATTTAAGGAGATTTAACTAAACAAAAACATTCGATTTAACAGGTTACCATGGCAGAGGAAGATCAGGGCTTTGGGAGAAGAACCAGAAGGAACCCATCTGCAAGCGAACAACTCAACGCCTCTCGAGTTTCTTATGTATTCCTGTGTGGTAAAATCACCAATCTATTCTGAAACAGAGCTTCTCGAAAAAAGTAAACATGGATCTGCAACACACAGAGATAGAGAGATACCTCCTCGTATTCGAACTTTAACTTCATCATGCTGCTACGAGAGAGAAAACGAGTAGCCTGCGTTGTTTTAGAGAGAGAGAGAGCAAGACGGAAGATTGAAGGCGGTTATCTAATTTGTAGAGTGTTGTTTTCTTTCTTTCTAATAATAAAAAAAAAGGATCATTTAAATTTTAGTGGAAAATATGACGTCATGGTGGGCGTGTGAACCAGAAAAGCCCATCATCCGTAGGATCCTAAATTTTCCAACTTACAAAAAAAAAAGCCTTTCATCCTCAAATATCCATTTTCAGTTTTCATTTTATAAAAAGTCTAATTATTATTTCCAAATTGAATGGTAGTTAGATGGAGTTCTCAAACAAGTGTCGTCTTCTCAAGACACGCCATCTCTCTTTGTTCCTCCAAATTGATCCAAAAACTCCAAATTCGATCCAAAAACTCCAAATTCGACTTTGCGTTAAAGTAGTAGGAGCAGCTAACGATCATGAAGTACATTTGTGAGTCGCACAACTAAATTACCTACTTATTCTCAGGATTACACATTCTATACCATTCAAAGCCATATAATAATCTGAATGGTTTTAATTTGCAAACAAGGATTAATAAATAAAACAGGAATGTATAATTGATAACAAAACTGCATAGAATTCTCAAGTGTGCAACATCGATAAAATTTAAAACATTCCAAGAAATGGCTAAACCAAAACATGATAATCATTATGTTTCTTAAACGAGAAACGATAAGAGACGCTTAAGTCATTCTCTGGGCAGCCTCCTTAGCGAGAACCCTCTCCTTGGCTTTGGTCTTGGCTTGAGACTTGGATCCCATTATGCCTCCTCCCCACTTCTTCCTGTACTCGTCGTACTTATCGTTGAAGTTGGCCTATTCACAAAACAGCAACAGGTTCAAGATTAAAGTCTAAGTCTCAATGAAAATATGTTTTTGTATCATTACACTTGCACTGTCACAACTCTAATTGAGTAGTCAGCCATTTAATTTACCTTGATGGCTTCGAGGATTTTGCTGAACTCGAGCTTGTCCTCGTTCTTCACAGTGGTCAAGCACAAGCAAGCAGCAGTCTTCTGGTGAACGACCTGCAAGTAAATGCAAGAAATGAAACATATAAATATATATCAGGGCGTTTTAAGTTTGGCTAAAAGAGGAAAAACACTAATGGAGTTTCAGAGTTATATAATACCGTTCCAAGACGCGATTTTCCCTTAACAATGCAGTATGGGACTTCCATTTTCCTACAGAGAGCAGGTAACCAGACGACCAACTCGATGGGGTCAACATCGTGTGCAATCACGACAAGCTGTGCCTTGTTCTGCTCGATGAGGTAAGTTACGTGGTTGAGTCCGTACTTGACAACAATGGGCTTCTTGGACTCAGAAGGCTTTCCCTCAGCCTCGGCTTGAGCCTTCTTCAAAAGGCGATCTTTCTTGGCGGCCTTGTCCTCTGGCCTGTACTTCATAAGGATCTTGAAGAGGTTGGTTGCGAGGTTCTTGTCAAGAGTCTTGGTGAACTGGTTCAGTGCTGGTGGGACCTTCAACCTCTGCTTAAGGATGCGCTTCTGTCTTTGCAGACGGATCGATTTCGGCCATTTGATGTACCGAGTCAGATCCTTCTTTGGTGGCAAAGCTCCTCCGATACCGAATTGCTTTGGCCTTCTCTCAAACAATGGATTCGTAACTTTCTCCTACAAGTTTTGCAACAATTCTAATAATAAGCACGAAGAATTGAGTCATTGTATACGATGTTATTGCTTAAGGAAGCGAATGAGAGCATACCGGCTTCTTCTTGGCAGCCACTTTCACTCCTCTTTTGGGTGCCTGCGATTCAAAATGGCCCAGAAACAGATCAATCAAACGGTGACTCAATACATCATAGCTAGAAGAAGCAACTAACTCTTATGGATTCACTAGACAAAGCATGAAAGCCAGAATCCTGATCTATGCTAGTTTCGATGCAGTCAAGCCGCTTATTCTAGATTCAGAGAGGAGAAAAAACAATCGAGTATTCGCCCAAATACACGAACAACGAAACGGATCTAAAAGAAACGAAGCTGAATTAGAAATCCGAGGACAAGTGGCAATGAGAGTTGCCAAGGGCCGTGAATTCGACATACCATCGTTGTCGATTCCTGGAGGCAGACGGCGGAGAGAGGAAGAGAGCGGCAAAGACTGAGTGAGAGAGAGAGCGATTAGGGTTTAATGTTACCACTATATATATAAAGACGGACCCAGTGATATTACATTTATGGACACGTCTGTCTACAAATTTTTTATTTTATACCCTAATTGTAAATTATTAGTTTCTGGCCCAAGCATTTGTATTTGTAATTTGTGAAATGTATTTTTTTGTTCTCTTTTTAGTTTTGAACAATTTCAATACTTTTTTGGTTCATGTTTCTTTACATTGAAAATCAACACAACAACAACACTTATGTCTCTCCATAGCTTGACACATCAGCTTTTTGAAGCTTTATAAACATGACACCTCAGCAAAAATAATCACCAATCAAAATATTTTATTAATACAACTCATCTATTCATTTTTATATTTTAAACTTAAACCTTTTAAAAATCCAAATATTTTTTTCTATTAATCTTTATTTTATTTTTTACTAAACACAAATCCAAATAATTAATAACAGCAAATAAAAGAAATCTTTATTTTATTTTTTACCAAACTCAAGTCCAAATAATAAATAATAACAACTAAAATAAATATTTTTTTTTTTTGCTAAACCCAAACCCAAATAATAAATAACAACAAATAAATTATAATAAAAAATTTCTAGCTATCTGTTTATTTGACAAAGACGTATATGATTGAAAAAAGTGTAGGCTCAACATCAACCATGCTTCGACAAGAAAACAAATTTTCTTGGCTTTGGCGGGAATAAGAAATTTCTCTATTTTGCCGGAAGTAGGAAATTTCTTGATTTCGGTAGAAAAATGTGATTTTCAGTTTTGGTAGCAAAACATAATTTCTCAGTTATGACAGGAAAATCAAATTCTCAGGTTTGGCAGGAAAATGTGAATTATTGGTTTTGGTGAGAAAACAAAAAAAAAATTGATTTTGACGGGAAAACAAAATATCTTAGTTTTGACGGGAAAATGCGATTTTCTGTTTTGACGCGAGATCCAACTTTTTAATTTTGATGAAAAATGCGATTTCTCAGTTTTTATAGGAAATGCAAATTTTCGACTTTTGACCGTTTTATTGGTTTTCACGCAAAAATGTGATTTATTAGTTTTCATGGGAAATTGCATTTAATGATTTTGGCGGAAAATGCAATTTCTCGGTTTGATGGGAAAACAAAATTTCTAGGTTTTGGCGGGAATAAGCAATTTCTCGGTTTAGATGGGAAATGCAAATTTTCAGTTTTTGACGAATAATGTGATTTTTTTGTTTTCGCGGGAAAATATAATTTCTTAGTTTTCGCAGAAAAACACAATTTCTCGGAAGATAATGCAATTTTGGTTTTTGCGGGAAATTATAATTTATCTGTTTTGGTAGGAAAACGTGATTCTTGGTTTGACAAGAAAAATGAATTTTTTAGTTTTGGCGGGAATAGACGATTTCTCGGTTTTTGTAGGAAAATATTTTTTTTGGTTTTGACGGGAAAATATGTTTTTTTTTGTTTTTACAAGAAGATGAAATTTTTTGGTTTTAGTAAAAAACGTGATTTTCGGTTTTGGTGGATAACACAAGTTTTTGCGGAAAAATAAAATTTTAGGTTTTAAGTTGGATGAGAAAATAATTTTTTTTTTGGTTTTGGCGGGAATAGACGATTTCTCAGTTTCATGAGAAAATGAATTTTTTTGGTTTTGACGAGAAATGCGATTTCTCGGTTTTTGTAAGAAGATTAAATTTCTCTATGCTAAATTTCCAAATTAAAGTATGTTACAATTACCAAAATTTAATTATTTAACTTTAACTAAAACTTTATTTCAAGAGTTCAAACATAATTTTCTATTTAGTTCTAAAGCAGTAACAATGATTTTCATATGGCTGTTTTTTATTATAGTTCGATAGTTTTAGAAATATATGTTTATAATAAATATTTGTTAAATAAATAAATTTTATAATTCACGATAATTATATTAATTAATAAATCTTTTTTAAAAATAGCACTTTGCTTTATATAATTACAAAAGAGGATCAAACAATTAATTGAAGAAAATAGATTATATTTACCATTAGCATAAAAGTACTAAAAATATATTATTTTATTCTTACATATACATTTATAATTAGTTAGCTAAACAAATTTAATAGCAAATTATAATTTTCAAAAATAAAAGTATACAATATTTATCAGATTTAAAACATATAAATACATAACTTTAGCTAATAAAAAAATAAATACAATACTCATTTATATTATAAAAATAAATTTATTATATTAAAAATATATACAAAACTTAGAAAAATATCCCGCAGCGTAGCGCAGATACACATATATTGACAAAAAAATTAAATACTCGAAAATTTAACATTTTCTTGTGTGTTTGTTAATACACACATCTTGACAAGAAAATAAAAAAATTAGTCATGCAAACTTATGAAGGAAAAATTCACATAAAGAAACACGAAAATTTAACATTTTCTTGTGTGTGTCTTAATATACACATCTTTGAAAGAAAATAAAAAAACTATAAAATTTAGTATTTTTTTTGTATGTGTGTTAATACACATATCTTGACAAGAAGATTTAAACAAACTCGAAAATATAACATTTTTTGTGTGTGTTAATACAAACATCTTGACAAGTAAAAATAAAAAGTTAGCAAATTTAACATTTTGTGTGTGTGTTAATATACATATCTTTACAGAAAATTTTAAAAACTCATAAATTGAACATTTTCTTTTGTGTGTGTTAATACAAATATCTTGACAAGAATTTTTTTTTTAAAAAATAAAAAGTATAATATTTTCTTGTGTGTATTAATAGACACGTCATGGCAAGAAAGATTAAAAAATTCATAACATATTTTGTGTGTGTTAATAAACATATCTTGACAAGAAAATTATCAAAAAAACCCGAAAATTTAACATTTTCTGTGTGTTTTAATACACGCATACTGACAAAAAAAATAAAAAAAAAACTCAAAAATTTAGCATTTTATTTTGTGTGTGTTAATATACATTTGATAAGTAAATTAAAAAAAACTCAAAAATTTAACATTTTCTTGTGTGTATTAACATAAACACATCTTGGCAAGAAAATAAAAAAATTTCAAAATTTAATATTTTTGTGTGTGTATGTTAATACACATATCTTGACAAGAAGATTAAAAAACCACAAAAATATAACGTTTTCTTGTATGTGTTAATACACACATCTAGGCAAGAAAATAAAAAAACTTTACAATTTAATATTTTTTTGTGTATGTGTGTTAATACACATATATTGACAAGAAGATGAAAAAACCTCGAAAATATAACATTTTCTTATGTGTGTGTGTTAATACACATATTTTGGCAAGAAAACTTTAAAATTCGCAAATTTAACATTTTTTTGTGTGTTAATACATACATCTTGGCAAGAAAATAAAAAACCTAGAAAATTTAACATTTTTTGTGTGTGTTAATACTCGTATCTCGACTAGAAAAATAAAATAAAAACTCAAAAATTTAACATTTTCTTGTGTGTATGTTAATACACACATTTTTGCAAGAAAATAAAAAAAATCATGAATTTAACATTTTTGTGTGTGTGTGTGTATTAATACACACTTCTTGGCAAGAAAATAAAAAAACTTGAAAATTTAACATTTTTATGTGTGTTAATACACGTATCTTGACTAGAAAAATAAAATAAAAATTCAAAAATTTAACATTTAATACACACATTTTTGTAAAAAAAATTAAAAAACTAAAAAATTAACATTTCTTATGTGTGTTATTACACATATCTTGACAAAAAGTTTTTTAACAAAAACTCGAAAATTTAACATTTTCTTGTGTGTGAGTTTATACACACATCTTGGCAAAAAAAATTTAAATAAATATAAATTTAATATTTTTGTGTGTGTGTGTAAATATACATGTCATGACAAGATAATTAAAAAAAAATCGAAAATTTAATATTTTCTCGTGTGTGTGTAAATACACATATATTCACAAGAAAATAAAATAATTTTTCTCCAAACTTGAGGGAGAAATTCCATGAAAGAACCTCGAAAATTTAATTTTTTTTGTGTGTGTATTAATACACATATCTTGATAAGAAAATTAAAAAATAAACTCAAAAATTTAACATTTCCTTGTGTGTGTGTGTGTGTGTGTGTTAATACACAAATTAAAAAGACTCAAAAATTTCATATTTTTTGTGCGTGTGTTTATACGCATATCTTGACAGGAAGATTAAAAAAACCTAAAAAATATAATATTACCTTATGTGTGTGTTAATACACACATCTTGGCAAGAAAATTGAAATATTCGTAAATTTAACTTCTTTTGTGTGTGTGTTATGAAAAATGATAGATGAGTCAATTAAATGATAGCTGAACCATTACAAGAATCTCCAGGACTACCCTCCAATCCTTCTATCTCAAAAATTTAACATTTTCTGTGTGTGTTAGTACACACATCTTCGCAAGAAAATTAAAAAACACGAAAATTTAACATTTTTTGTGTGTGTGATAAGTACACATATATTCACAAGACAATAAAAAGAAAACTCAAAAATTTTACATTTTCTTATGTGTGTGTTAATACACACATCTTAACAAGAAAATTAAAAAACACAAAAATTTAACATTTTTTCGTATGTGTGTGTTAATACACATATCTTGGCAGAAAAATTAAAATAAAACTCAAAAATACAAGTTTTTCTTGTGTGTGTATTAATACACACATCACGGCACGAAAATTAAAAAACACAAAAATTTAACATTTTATTGTTTGCGAATACACATATATTGAAAAAAATTTTAAATACTCGAAAATTTAACATTTCTTCGCGTGTTTGTTAATACACATCTCTTGACAAGAAAATAAAAAAATTAGTCCTGCAAACTTAGGAAGGAAAAATTCACAGAAAGAAACACGAAAATTTAACATTTTGGAAACAAAATAAATGAACCATAAAATTTAATATTTTTTTGTATGTGTGTTAATACACATATCTTGACAAGAAGATTGAAAAAAACTCGAATGATAACATTTTTTGTGTGTGTTAATACACATATCTTGGCAAGAAAAAATAAAAAAATTAG